CAAAGGTCGGTAATTCCGTCTTGTTTAGAAAAAATATCCATCTATCACGGCAAACGACATAAACTGTTATGACCCAGTATTCAATTCGTGTCCAAAAAGCTGAGCTATTTGTGACAACCGTTTCACTATAAATATCGACTTCAAATTCCAATTCGGGTTTTTCAGTGCCAACAGCTATAAGGCCTATATTCAAAATTCAGTATTGAGTGACTCTCATCAACCAACAATCAATAAGATTTTCATATTTCGTACAATTTGCAGAATTTTTGGCATTTATTAAAACGTAATTCAGTGATAATTTATGAACTTTGCTTTATTTTTAGAAAGACTGATAGAAAAAGTACAACCAGTAGGACGTACACCAAGATTAAAAGTCAAACTGAATAAGTAATAACGTGTCTAGAGAAAAGTCAGCTTTCATCAATGAGTAGGATTGATGTATGATAGGTAGTTGGAGATTTCTGAAGCTACGAAGCATCCCGAGGGCAAAGGTCATTGGTTAATACTGACGCCAAGAAAATTCAGCCTTACTATTAAACTATTTACACTAGAAATACTATATCTGTTACACTTCATATGGTAACTTTTAGGTTAATCACCTCATTGTGAAACCTTGTTAAGAAATTATGAGGTTTCAGAGCATGCGCGACTAGGTTATTGTCGCTTACTTTTCTTGACTTCATTATTAATTATATTTACTCATTTAGCAGTTAAAGTGACCTGCTAAAGATCGTCTGGATCTTAGCTTTTATCGGGGAATGAAATTTACATGATGTCACAGCTGACTGATTTATAACAGACACCCATGGGGCAAACAGTATGAAATGATATCACTTTTGAAGTAAGCTATAATCTCGGGATCAGTTTACAAATTTTATTTGTCATACTTATATTTTGCTTGCCTTATCCAGAGAACATCTAGAACACTTAAAATTCATATTACTTTGTTCACACATTAAACTAAAACAGTTCAGTCAACCGAATAAATATCAGATCAATAATATGAAAGGGTTGAAACATGACAACGAAATTATATCTAACCGTCGTGATAAAGGCACTAGTATATTCGTAATGAACAGGAAAGATTATCGTCGCATAGCGATTAGATAATAAAATGTTAAAGTTCTTAACCACTTATGAAACTAAGGGAGAAAAATAACATGATAATGATAGGAGTACAAAAGGAGATAATATTTACATTTATCAGGGTGACCGGAAAGGAATTTACTATAATTCTATCTGGGGTGAAGTTGAAGGCCATGGAAGGGAAAGGGAAGAAAAATACGTCTAAACAGATAAATTAGGTCCGAAAATTTTAATTGCTATGGCTTCTGCATCGGGGGCGCACAAACTTGGAGTATTGCGATGGGACTCTGTAAATAATAGTCAATGCTGAGGTTTGTCAGTCTCATGCTCAGTGTCTAGTAGATGGTCGAGTATTGATTTTTGATGGGTTTCACTGTTCCCTTGCCTAACCACACTGGACAATGCTCAGTGAAGCGACGGTGGGCTTGACAAGTCTTTCCACCTATTTAACTATCTCCTCAGGAGCAGTTAAATTTATAAAAGCACATAGATGTGTCCAGATTCAGCAGCCTATACTTAAACTGCATTGACATCATACAGTGAGTAATAAATTTCAAACACAGTGCGGTGGCAAAGAAGGTTTTTGTATCATATTTCTGAGTTTCAGTATCAGTGTTTCTACAGCTGTACCTCCTTTGAACACTAAGTTTAGATACAATCGTTTCTTCGCCACCATTTAAAGGCACTTTTCTCCATCTGTTTTCATTTTTACAGTCTTTACGAACTTTTTAGGATAGTTGCTCCCATATAAGGAGTTCTCTGTTATGCTTAATTAATTGTTCAAAGTATAAGCTGTGAAAATCTTACTGGCTCGAAATCTTAGTGTACGGATTAAACTCTTTCTGTACTTAATAGGGATAAATGATAGGAAATGCGTATACTGACCAACTAATGATTTCTTACGATAAATACTGCGTCTGACACTTCCATTCGTTCGTCTTGATAGCAAAACACCTTAAAACGGCAGACACCCGTCTTTCTCTGTTTCACATGTGAATGTGATTTCTGGATGAGCACTATTGAATGTATAGAGAAGAATGTCAGGATTCCCCTCTATCCCTGCACACACACACACACACACACACACACACACACACACACACACACACACACACACCTACAAGGATTGACTACTGAGAAAAGATTATGTTGGGAAAATATCTTAACCTCTTTCAGATGAAAGCAGGGCATTCAAGTCAAAATAAGAAAAGAACAGAACAGAGATAATTGAAAATTAACTGGCTGAAAGTCTGAAAAAAAGAAAAATATATCAACTATCAATCCTGAGCTGTTTCAAAGAATGAGACCTTCTGGGTCAAATATTCCCTGTCCGCATAAAGAATCCAAAACCTATAAACCTGATTTACCCTAAAGGCTGGCTTTGCTTATATCTAGTTCACCTAATCATTCAACTATCAAGTGGCTATCTCAGCTTCTGGATACTATCAAAAGGTAAGTTTCGAAACATTCGAAACATATTTTTGACAGTATCTCCAGTTATAAGAGAACAGAAAATGCTGATATTTACTTGTTGATAGCAAATGTTTTTGCACATTATAGAGGATTTTAATTACCATTACTCTATTATGAGGCATACTACCAACTTAGTGATACTGTAGTTCACACAATCACCTTAAATTATGCCATTCACATGAAAATATATACTCAGAAAACAATTCATTTGGTCCTTCATCTTCTCTGAACTATGTGAGTTGATGTTTTAAATTAATTTACTCGTTGATCCTTGATAATTAAGGATAGTTTCGAATTGTTTGTTAGTGAAGACCATATAAGCTGGAATTCACTTGTAGATAAAATAAGTAACGATATAGTCTTACAGTGTTCATCTATGAAATATCTTACCACACAGTATATCGTATAGAAAAACCAACCCCAAACTTCCCGTAGAAGCACAACATATGAAGATGATAAGTAAATAAATGAGATAGTGTTGAGATAAACGAAAGGAATACGATAGAACGACTGAACAAAGATCTAGAAAATGGCCTGAACTGCACCATCGGCATCACTTTTCAGTTATACCAGTGACCATCCCCAAACGCTGGTTCATATATGAATGTCATCGAGAGGGTTTATGCCTACCTAGACTTTTTGGGCAATCGGTTAAGGAGTTAATAAAATGTTGTCGTTTCTTGATCTGACTAACCCTAGTTTTTCCAACCTTGTCTGACTTCAACACATGGGATCAGATGGTGCCTAATTATATCTAACACACTTCGCAACCATTTCAGTCGATATATTGGGTCATCAACTGACTTGTTTTCTTTGCCAGAAAATGTGCGCACAAACTCATTGTTCCACACATGATTGCTATTATGTGTCAGAATTACCGATTCAAAACAACCATTCGAAAAAAATTATCATTAGAGTGCATGAATAGTAAACCAACGACTCAGTGATTCACACAGACATAAAGGTATATCATAGTTTTTAGAAGGCAGGTTCGTTTATGCAAGTAACTTTGCGAATAAATTGACACGTTCGTGTATAAAATAATGAAATGATGCTGAAAGTTCAATCTGAAGTGGTTCAATGCACTCATGTATTATCTGGAAGTAGAAAACAGATTAGAATAAAACGTTTCATTAGTCATTTACTACTTAGTAGTAGTTCAGTGATAAAATAAAAATTATTTTTTCCAGTAAATTAAGTTCTGAAGTATGCGAACATGTAAATCCAATACTACGTGTATACAATGTTTCAATGTATTTTTATTAACAGCAATACAGAAACACTTATCAGTGTCACGTGGAATCTATCTATCGGTTAGTCGTCAAAAGTATACCACGTAGCCTCTTCAAATTCGTCGTTCTAAGAATTCAGGGCTTAGTGTGGAAAACAGCCGCAAAAGTTATAATAGGCTAACTTCATTTATTGTATATAACATATTTTCTAAAAGCTGATTATGAGCGTATGTGAATTTTGTAAATAAGCTTACCTCTGTAGCCTGAAAAGTCCAAATAAATTAATGAAAACTTCGTTTAACAACCGATGCTTAGAGCTGAAGCAAGTGTTGAAATTACCTTCATTCAAGGTAATTTACATTGGTGAGTTTCAACACTATTAGGTTAACTACTGGACTACACCTCGGCTTCTAATAACAGCACTCATAACGTTATTCTCGGTTAATGATATCTCATGATGTCTCTGAAACACCCTGAAATGAGGAAGTTTTATGATCTAGACACACCGACTTTTTACGGGGAAATCGCTTCCGAACTAAGAGCATGGTAAGATACTTGAAAGTAGCTTCTCTTGTCCGTATCCGCAATATTCTCGGTAGCGTATATTCTTTTTGTGTCACCGTAAAATAACTCTGGGAAGAAAGCAAAATCATGACTTAAGTGTGTGCAGTTATTCATGATAACAGCGTATCAGTAACATATATATTCCATTTCAGTATAAATATTTGACTTTAAACAAAGTGTAAACTGCTTATATGTTACTGAGCAAATTTATCGTAACGTAAATCAGGCTGAGAAAGAAATGCCTTCCATAATATAAGCAAGCACTGCATAAACTTTTGGTGACTTGTAATTTTGAAGGTTTAATGTCTGAACTCGATTAAGGCTTAAGCAGTTCCCTCTCAAGAAGTGCAACAGCGGTACGAGTGTTGAAAAGCAACCTTTCTTCTTCTTTTTCCGACTATAAACTTGCAAAAGTAGTCTGCAGAGGAGAAAATTAGCAGCAGAATCTTCTGTTCTCAGAGTAAACCTCTCATTATTCAATCTTTCTGTAATAAATTTGTGTCGAAATACAATGTCCGGCATCCGGACCACATAAGTGCTTTTTAGAGCAAAAAAACTAACTATAATAGCAGAAACTATCTTATCTCACATTTTGTTATTCTGACAATAATTGCACAAGTGCATCGAAGGATTCCTAAATTCCATTCAACTGGCTGTTTTTGATTTCAAACGATCACAAATTTCATCCAGTTTCATAATCTGCTCACAAATAATTCCACGTTCCAGATTTACCTAAATAAGATAAAACTAGTTAACAAAATATTGGATATAAATAAACCAACTTGATCCCCATCAATTTTCAAACCTTATAATATCAAAGGTGTATTTACTTCAATTACATTTCGTCGATAGGTTCAACACAAGATGTATAGAAAAGTAAAATGGAAGTGATGCAAAACAGCATTTAAAGGAAATACAAGTTTTATAGTATAACAGTCATAGTGATAGGGAGATGAAACATTATACATCTGACTCCATATTTAAAAACTTAGTTACAACAGAATGTATGCCAGTGGCTCCTGTCTACGACGTGCATACTCCTCTGAGATATAGAGTGACACAGATCAGTTGTCTGAGAATATCATGTCATTTTTACTGAGAGTATGATGACGCTATCCTAATAAAGAAGAATGAAGTAGAGTTAAGATACTGTGAAGAAGGTAAAATGATACTAATTTCACCTAAAATTATACGGTGGACAATATACAATTAGGCCAGTGATAACACAAAAGTGCTGAAATTGGAGTTTGAGGAGAACAATTAGTATTGTTCTTAGTTGTATTATCCCGTCATTGTGTGCACCGGATTGATCAGTCTCTATTGGTATAAGGGCTGCTGAGCGGATGCCTCGATATTGCCTATGTTTCTCAAGTATATTGATGAAGGATACAGGATAAAAAAATATTAAAAAAAATAAACTCGCCTAGTAAACTAGTTCACAAATTTACCAGCCGGTATTCAAGCCGGATAAAGAGGGAAACTTGGACATAGGCCTAGCAACCCTAACCTGGAAAACCTATCTAATCACTAAACAAACTTCAAAAAATAAAAAAACTATAAACACCAAAACTACACTTATTCCTTCCTGGAATCGGAGAGACGAAATAATGCCAAGTGGTGAAAGTCTTCGGAAAGCCAGTCGGCCGATGTGTCTTCTCTTCTCTCGATGAAAGCAAAAGTAAACGTAGGGACATGGAATGTCCACATCATATATGAACCTACCAAGGCTGCCCAGATTGCAAAACAGATGAGGAGATATAGCATAGGATTGTTAGGAATCTGCGAAAGCAGATCGGATGGAAGTCGACTCTCCAAACTGTCAACTGGAGAGTCAATAATCTACTCCGATATTGTCACCCACACTACAACCACGAACACACAGAGGGAGTGGCTATCATGATGTCCCCAACAGCATCGAAGGCCCCCTCTCATGCAGTGGGAACCAATCTCCTCCACGATCAGGATCATGACAGCAAGATGGATTCAACTTAAAAGGAAGGAAAGTTGCAGTCATTCAATGCTACGCTACGTATCTACAAATAATGCAGATGAAGAGAAGAAGGAGAAATTCTAAAGACAACTGCAATCAGTACTGGACAACACTCCAGTTGGTGACATCAAAATTCTAATGGGCGACATGAATGCTAAACTCAGAGCGGACAACACAGGAAGAGAACACATCATGGGTCGGGAAACACTCGGTGAAGTGATAAATGAGAATGGAGAACTGTTTGCAGAATTCTGTGCATTTAACGATTTGGTGATTGGAGGCAGTATGTACAAACACAAGGATAGTCACAAAGCGACATGGACTTCACCAGACACCAGGACACACTGAAAATCAGGCCGACTTTATTTCAATCTTAAGGAAGTGGAGACGCAGCCTACTGGACACAAGATCAGATGAAGAAGAGGAGCAGGTGTAGGTTCATACCACTCACAATCTAGTGCAAGGAACCTGTCTTCAAAACCAAGTTGAAAGCCCTCACAGAAGTTGGTGACAGACCACAGTTCAAGTTCAACACCCAGAACAGAAACTGAACTGAAGGACAAAACTACAAAGGACATCTTCACGTCAGCCAGTCAGCCATCAGCAAAAAATGGGAGAGATTAGGCAACATCTCCGAGGAAACCGGTGTGGAACAACCCTGGAAATCTGCGAAAGAGATGTGGAACAAAACCTGTGTTAGGAAGGAAGAAGAAACAAGACAAGACAAGGAATGGATCTCGACGGACACATGGAAGCTGGTAGAGCAGGGAGAGGAAGATGGTGAAGCAGATGAACCAGTACAGTGCAGTGTAGGGATGAACAAAGAAAAGAGGAACTGAACACAACCTATAACACACTACACTGGAAAAAGAAGTGAAGAAGAGTGTGCGAAAAGACAAAAGACACTACTATGACACACTTGCAAGTGGAGCAGAAGAGGCAAAGTAGAAGTAAAGTCCTGAAAGCCATAAAGCTGATGAAGGCCCAGAAAGCAGCAGGACCACATGGAATTCCTCCAGAAACATTGAAAACAGACGCAGAGATAACAGAGGACAAGCTCACACCACTCCACTATTGCACAAGGTTTGGAAGGAGGGAAGGAAGGAAAGGTATCTGGCGACTGATTGGAAGAAGGGTCACCTTGTCAAACATCCAAAGAAGGGAGATATAAGTCTGCAAGAACTGGTGCGGAATCATGCTCCCGTCCACCCCAAACAAAACATTAAGCCACATCATCCTGGAGAGACTAAAAAAATGCTATGGATTCAAAACCGCGACGGGAACAGGCTGGCTGGCTGGCTGGCTTCAGGAAGAACAAATCATATGCGGATCAAATTGCAACGCTATGCATCATCTCATCATAGAACAGAACATAGAATGGCAGTCAACTCTCTACCTCAACTCCATCGATTTTGAAAAGGCCTTCGACAGCGTCAACCGAGAAGTAATTTGGAAACTGCTTCAACACTACGGTTTTAGTGTCACAAACCCTTATCAACCTCATTCAATAGCTATGCTACGTGATGCTACATGCCAAGTGATTCACAATCGAAAGCTCAGTGACGCCTCCGAAGTGAACACAGGAGTAAGAGAAGGTTGCCGCCTACTATCACTGATGGTCTTCCTGGTTGTGGTCGACTCAACTGGACTGGATAATGCAACAAACTGTGAAGAGCGAGAAGAGGGGCGTACGCTGGTTGGACCGATGAAAAGACCCTACACGATTTGGATTTCGCCAATGATGATTTAGTTTATGTTTAATGTCTCGTCGTACAAACTCGAAGATCTACAGGTGAAAAACAAGAAGTTGGCAGAAGAGACGGGGCAGTGAAGACGGGAGTTCCTTCAGGTGGATGTAGAGAAAACAGAGGTGGTGAAGATACCCAACTAACAACAGCATCGACAACAAGCACTAATCACCATCAATGGGAGAAACCTAAAGGAAGTAGTCTCTTTCACCTACCTACCTACCTACCTACCTACCTAGGCAAGGCAGCATCGTTTCAACTACAGGCGGCAGCACAGATGAGGACATCAAAGCCACGATCAGAAACACAGCAAGACAGGCCTTTATTAATCGGAAATCAATGCGGAGATCTACTGCACTGCACTGCACTGCAATCAGCATAAAGCGTTAACAAGATCTGGATTTTCAACAGCAACGTCAAATCATTGCTTCTTATATGGTTCAGAAACTTGGTACGTCACGAAAAGCATTTCCAACAAACTACACGCACCCATTAACAGCTGCCAATTACGCTCACTCGATACTGACACTGAAGATCAGATGGCCAGAAAGAATGAGCAACAGGGAACTCTGGCCGGGCAACGAACCAACGAACTGAGAAACCATCGCCCAACAAATATGCAGAAGAAAGTGGAGATGGATTGGGCATGCACTGAGAAGACCGTTCGGGGACATCACGTGCCAGGACATTCTGTCGAGTGGAACCTAAAGGGAAAACGATGAGTTGGGCGTCCCAGCGAGGTGTGACATGGAGGAGATGGTGTGAGGAAGAGATGAAAGCTTGTGGACATTCGTGGAGCCAGGTTCAAAGGACTGCTGAGGGCGGAGTGAAATGGAGACGTGCTATTGAAGCCCTATGTTCTACTAGGAACTCAAGGGACAAATAATATAATAATAATAGTTATCCGTTGACAAATAGTTACCTTTTTCTCCAATCTACTTATTTTCATTTGAAGGCTGATTTTCACAACTAGAATACATTCTGCTAGTGTGCGAAACTTCATTGAGTCCTTGGTATCCTAAAATTAAATTTGAATGGGAAGAAACAAGCAGCTGATTCAGGTAAATAAGATTTTCCTCCTTTTTTCTTCCGAAATGAACTTTTCATGATAGTTTTAACTCTAAAACTGCTTATACCTTCGATTAACTATTTTTTTTATAGATATTGTTCAATTATATAAATAAAGCATATACATGATGATTTGTGGTGGCCGGTAATAGTATTATCAGTCGGAGATATGCCGGAAGTACTGCCCCACTGTTTCATGCTGGTTGGCACTCATCAACAAGGCGTGTCTGCAATCTCAAAGGAACTGATGTCGCCTATCAGATTGGAACTCTTTTCACCCAGTTCTGTAGTGAAAGACGTTAGCACTGAGATATCTAGGAGGTAATTGAACACCCATACTGGATTAGTGACATCGATTGGTCACTGGATAGTAACTAGCTTCATGCTGTCTAGTTCTAGGTGCAAAACGAACTCTGTCGATCGTTAAGCAGTGTGATCAACAAGTGGGAGACTCATCACTGCGTTGCACTTTGGTAGTCATTAGTTAATGAATAATCACTGGATGTAATATAGTCCTACAGATCAGTCATAGTTTGAATGGCTGAGTGTTAATATCTTTCACTGCAGAATTAGGTGACACAAGTTCAAATCGCATATACGTTTTGATGACGAGTGCCAGCGAGCATGAAACCTAGGTACAGGGCCTCCTACCGATGGTCTCCAACCAACTACTATGCATCAATTTACACTACAGTGGTGAGTCTCATGGCTTGTTGGCCGCATGGTAAATGGTCTACAGAATTTGATCAATATTTAGGAATTTTATACACAAAATTGGTTACTCTCCAGTGACCAATCAATGTATTTATGTACAGCATTACTGTGACGCATGTCGCTAATATAGATCCAATTATGTAGTATATAATATGATGTCTTTCCAAGAAGTCAAAAAAGCCTTCAATCAACTGACAAATTTTCTGGCGAGAGGAACAAAAAAGGCTGGTTAGAAATATAGAAAACCAGAAAACGAAGTGAAAGGAGTCGAAACAGAACGAATGAAGAACATAAATAATCTTTTTATGAGGGAGTGTTATTCATGATAAAGTTCATTATTTTATCAGTATTTCAACAGTCATTGGTTTCACTGGTGTTCGTTTTACAACTTCCGGGGTGTTTTTAACACGGTGACGGATTTCCGAACATGTAAATGTATGATGCGTAGACGGTGGCATTCAATTTCAGAGTGAAAATTACTGAAATTCTGCAAGCATAAAGTGGTTAGTATTCAGACAACTAAGCCTCTAAGAGCTATGGTTTCACTTACCTTCTCAAATATATTTAACCATTTTTAACACCCTTCTTTAAAATGCCAAGCTTCTCGAATAAATTTACACTGACTTTTGTACCCAATTAAGAGAAAAGTCGAAGGCCCTCTTTTTTTTAACATTATAAAATTATTGTCAACCAACTACCAACCTAGACAGGTTTTAATTAAAGAGGTTTTCATCACATAGAGATCTCAGACAACAAACGTTCTCAAAGCTTGCAACACTAGACTGTTGTCTCATTCCCACTTAAGACTCGTCAGCACTGAGCCGACTCAAAACCTTAGGAGTTGAAGCCTAGGACTGTCGTGTCTCACGACAAGAACAACACTACACAGTCACAACGTTCAAATCCAGATGTTCACGTTTTCCAACTTCTGTCGATTCATGACATACAAGCTGCTAAGTTACCTCATAGAACAACGTTAGCCTGAGCAGGTCTATGCTCGAAAAACACCAAAGGTAGTCTGGCTAAGAGATAGCGTCAGTGTACAACCATTCACCTGTCAGATGGAGAAATCTGGACTTCCCGGTTGGGGTTCATGTGACCATAGGAATCTCAAGCTTATATCCCTCGTACTCGATCTCACTGATACAGGTGCACACACACACACATTATCTTCATCGTCATACTGAATCTTATTACTCCTTCATCCCTTCTACTCCACCCACTTTTCTCTTCTTGTGACTTTCTACTAAATTTGACTACTTTCTTGCTAACATTTCAAGCTGGTTCCTTCTGAGTCTTGACAACTTCGACCGTTAAGCCGTAATACCATTCGTTAATCTGGTAATTACTGACGCATTCTTCCCCATGCATATGAACTTTCAATGCTACTTAGACAATAACTGTCTGAGTTCTTCCGTGAGATAATTTACTTTATAAAGAAAACTAGCAGCTAACAGCCAATACAACTACAAACTCCCAGGGGCTACTCCTGAATAAGTTTGCGACAAAATAACTTAGATTGGACAACAATACAAAAAAAAGTTAATACCGTTCGCTTAATGACAAACAAGTGAAACCGTTATTTATTTTCCTGTTCTTAATGCCTCAAAGTGCACACTCCAAATACTAGACGAAAAATCATTCATGAAACAATGAAAGCTTTTATTTTCAGATATATTCGAACAACGACAGTGCTAATACTGCTTCCTACAGCAGCACACACGACCACAAAAACCCTATGACATTATGAGTTGACATCACTTGCAGAACCTCTGGAAACCTAAGAGCATTGAAAAGCTGATCTGTCTCGCCTTCTCACTCTTCTTCAATGAGCATCTATGATCCCAAGCTAAAAGAACTCAGAACAATCAAGTTCTGTGGTGGTTGTTTCATTCTTAAGTTCAGCCACCCACTTGAAACATAACGGTCCATTTATTTGCACCTCCGACGACTTATCGTCTAGCACAACAGTCATCGAATTCGTTGACCGTACATGTCAAGACTTCGAAATAGAGCTTCATGAAATCCATCTTGAACCAAGGCACATATGTCAATTGATGCTAGATGCTTTCAAATCAATCGATCTTCATAAACCCCCAAGTGAGTTACATTCCCGTGGTTTTCAGTGAATCGCTTCGAGATGGACCGATGGAAATACTCATGACAACTCTGAAGAAAAGGGGCCGGACAATTCGGAAATAAGGATGGATACCCGGAAATAATCGGTCTGTTATATCACGAATTGATAGGACCGGGGCAAAGTTGTGCACTGGGTTCCAATCCAGTGGCTCAATGTTAACGCATGAACAACGAAACCCTACTGTTCTTGCTCCGACCTCCCATGAGTGCGTGTGCACTCATAACTGAGAAGTCTCAGCTATCCAGTTCTCAATAGGTCTGTGCTTCATTTCAATATGATATGCAAACAACTCTACATTCTACAATCAGTAACTTTATGAATGAGTTTCTTATGGTTATCGTACGACGATTTGTCTTATCGCTTGAAACCACGGACAATCAGAGGTTGAGACTACTTACATGGCATCATATCTAGTGAGCACATATGCCAACTAACACTTCAGTGAATATAAGAGACAATACTCGACCATCATCATTAGGTAACATGGCCGACCAGTAACCCATCCAGACGTGCTGTTCATCCCTAATTCAGACTGCTCACAGCCTTCTTAACTCCAGCAAGAGTGGAAGGCCCCTTCTCAATACCCCAATCAGGATGCAGATAGATAGCGGGTAACTGAAGAGTAGGTGAAGGCCAGAGCAACTGTTGCTCAAAATCTTCTGTCCATTGTTTCAGTCGTCGCCCTGTGAATCAGTTCCTATCGTTTTACTAGAAAGGAAACCATACATGTCACATGACGAACGAAACAAGATTGACAGTCTACGGCCAGTGAACGTGTAATAGATGCAGAATATGTTTTTACAGAAATTATTGAAGAGCTCAAAATCTTTTGTCTCTACCCAATGTCGATTGGAGAACCGGATCTCAATAAAATCTAAAAACAATGCAAGACACTCTGCAACAGGTCTAAGTGGTAACAAAGCATTTTTGTGGTGCTTTTGGGATATCATTTCTACAACAGACATTGATTAGTAGGAGATAATACTTCAGGATTTTCAGTAACTTCTGTAAAACAGTCTACTAGACTTATTACACTTTCATTGACTGCAGACAGTCAATCTTCATTCATTCGTCATATCACTGAAGGATATAAATCCACCATCATCTCATACACAGCAATGATATAGAGATCGAAGTTATTTATGAATGCAAAACAAATACAAATCGTTTCTTTCCACGTGAAGATGCTGCCTGTTAAATATTGCAGAATTCCACTCAGCAGGCACTTTAAGAACATCAGTGGGACTGACAAAGCATGTTTAAACTATTTTCCCATGTTCTGAATAATCTAGTTTAAGTGACTCTGTGATTTGCTTTCAGCTTGATAGATGTGAACACACATGAAATTGTATTGCCCATATTGTATATTTAATAGGTGTGATTATCATGAAAATCATTATGGAACAAAAGTAACTCACTTTATTTCGACCTCTTTAAGTCGACCGTCAGACTTTTCGGTCTGAAACTTATTATAATCCTGTGGAGCTGTCAAACGATCATTGAGCCTCTTGTTTGCAGATTGACTAACAGTGTGAGCTTTATAAGAATGGTCAGAATACATCCGAGGAACCGACATCACCACGTAACGAAATTATTATACTTGATGTGTCCCCAGTTCAGTATGAGATCAATCTTCAATAAGATCTATTTTTACCACCTATTGTTTAATGTATTTCTTACTACATTTAATTTGACTTCTTATGACTGTATTTCTCCTACTTAGGAGTTTCTATTTTCTATTTTACGTCATTTTGTGTGCAAGTATTATCATAATATATCAGGTTCTTTTGCAAATATGTATCTGCAAAATATTAGCTTAGGCTGACAACTTGACATAATTACATGCCGTCACTCCATGCGCTCTACTTTCAATTCCATTTACCGAAATAATTAACCTGCACTTGATTTCATCTTTCACAGTATAACAAACTGTGATACTTTATGATTCGATGTTTACACACCGAAAATCCACTTAAGTTCTGTATTTGAAGATAGTCTCCGGTTGTAAATTTTGTGACTTACAAATGCAAGCGTCGTTTTAGATCTCGGTTGCTGATACAAATCCTTTAATTATGTTCAACATGTACATCCTCAATAGAAAAATGTAGCCAGTCGTAAAACCCTAATAGCACGTAACTAAACTCATATCGTTACTGAAAAGCCGTGTTGAAAGACATCATTAAAAATACACAACAGTTATGGCAAATGATGAAACAAATAAAAAGACTGAATTGCACGTCTCGATACCAGTTAGCTCATAGAAGACTACAATTATATGCGCAGAAACGTTATCACAGTAAGTCTCCAGATATATTGGAATCTATTCTGTACTCTACCCACCAAGTACTAGATTAGTATATAGATGAAAATACATAGAAAATTAGTACGAATTCAGAAATCACTACGATAGTTAGTAGCACTAAATAGTGGCTAGCAGTAAAACAGCATACAGGCATCATTCTCCGTTGGTCTCTCCCTTGGTTTCTTCAAGATTCTGAACTCTAGGCTGAGTAGGAAAAACAACAGATGAGAATAGATGGCAAGTTCTAAGTAGGAGGAAGATAGAACCCTGAATTTCACTTTGAAAGTAGAAAGTAATACTTAGTACTGTACCTAAATTAAGGATACACTTAAGCCTACAACTATTATCAACAAATATTACTCAATTCTCAGTCATTCGCCAGCTGTGTTTAGAGGACAATAAAAGTTTACAACTAAAGTATGAGGCTGAATTACCCTGTCGAAAGATATTTGTTCATTTTTTATCGGTTCCTCTTGTAACTTGGCTTGTAAATCGATAAGATCTTTGTGCAGTATGCGAAACAGATGTGATCTGAAATTAGAAATTAGATAACAGCACACAGTAACAGAAAAAATGGTGAAGCATAAATAAGAGCCTAGTGAATGAATCACTTGCAACCTGGTACCAACAAACTGAGATCAACTTCAAATGTAACGCTTGGAGATAATGATGGTTTAGAAATAATGGTTAGCTTTCCCACTGAAATCACAGACTCCAGAGACAAAAAGATTGTGGCTTACATAGAGATAGGGGTTTTTGTGTTTGTGAGAACAGTTTCACTACAGTTAACTAAAATCCCCAAAGTATGAAGCAAATTCATCCCAACCATAACCTCATGTTATAGGCTCAATTACTATGAATTTTCACTGACGCTAAATTTAATTAACAGGCTAAGTATTGTTGACGTCATTCACAGAAGCCATCAAAAACAAAATGGTGAAATTGAAGGTAGATTTCTGTGAAAATCGTATTCTTTAATAAATTTAAGTGATGTGAGACGTCAAACGCTAATCAAACGTAAACTAGTTATCGTATCTGCCAAGATCACGTAGTGATTAATGTGAATTCAGGTAAGTAAAGCAATCAACAAGCGTAACAGTTTCAGTTCTTTTATTCACATCTTGCAATGGATCAAACTATCTTAAAGCTTCTGTATTATTTCAGGCAACAAAAATGCCAAATGTTTTCAGATTTCCTTGGTTGCGTAGAGATGTCTGAGATATGGCATCATCATCCGATGCATACTTCAAGTTTATCACAAGATTTTGGGACAAGATTTGAATAGTTAAAAAGTCAGAGTTACAAACAAGTATGCTGAAGAATGAAATCCACACAAAAGTTCCATGCAGGAAGTGGATTATACGTGATGACTATCAAGCTTGATGAAGATTTTCAGCAAAATTGCATTGTCAACTATTACTTAAATATATTGCCGAAGGGAAAATGATAAACTCACTTCAGGCATACACAAAGCAATAATTTTGATTTTAGGTAGACTGTTTCCTAAACAAGCCTTCCCTAGATCATAAATAATATACTTATCAAATTGTTGTGAATGCAACTGATAAGAATATGTATAAGTAGTAAATAACTCAATTTCTTAGGTAAAGGTTACAAGATTTGCCGATGTAATGGCTGGATTTCTAGTAACCGTAACGGTATAGGTAGGTTAGACAAGTTAGAAGTGATTATATTGAAATAGGAGTAAAACTTGGGCACTGCGGTAGAATATGTTTCCACCTTGGTTGGTTTATTAGATGCATCACATAATGGAACAGTATTATTTAGTGCATTGCCTTTCGGACATTATTTATTGTCCATAGTTATATCAAGATGTCAAGCAAGATAATTTTGAAATAATATCTTTCCTACCCGCTATAGGCCTCCATCTTCCTTTTGGTGTCCACAGTGGACAAAACATTTCCAGCTTGGCCCATTAGGTCTAGTGTTATACAAGAACGACGACCATAAACTACGCTCCAGATCCCAGAGTGTAGGGGTCAACACAATGTCTCTCTGTCGTATGAGCATGAATTCACTGTATCATCTAATGATGACTACACATCCTGTCTAGGAGACAACTGTTCGAGTAGATATCAACCTGTGAGACATTGAATCCTGTCATTTGATATATTTTGAGGACTTGATCCTCATTTGTTTCCCCTATCTGCTGGACTTCGATTTGCCCATCCACTGAACAGTAGTCATCTCCATATGCATACATGAGGGCTATGACATACGTATACATGTGAAGCTGTATTACCTGTGTATAACATAAATATGTGGTTGCGTGCCGTACATGCGTATATGCATGCACCTATGTGTATTTATATGTGATATATGGGAGTATGGACATACATATATGTGTACTGTTTTGTAGCCCTCATTTTCGCATGTAGAGCATGCCTCAATAACCGCTTGCGGTTTCACCACCTCCTAATCCATCGGTTCTCCAGTGGATTCGTGTCCAGCACGCGAACTGAAATAATCCTACCTACCAACCATGAACATTATCAATAACGAAAATAGTGATGCTGACCACCAGCAGGATAACCAGGAACCCATATGCACCCCCGTGATAGTGGTGCATGCAACTGAATCGGCTAGCTGTCGCTGCAGTTACTGCAGTCAAACCATTAGCACGAGCAGAGATCTAGGGCAACACAAGCAGCGTACTCATCTAGACGATCTCAACCGAGAGAGGGTAGAAAGGATGGCCCCTATGACGGCAACCTGGTCGCTCTTATGATGACAATAGCCTACTAGTCGTCACAACTCTGATTTGGTCAGCCAAATAAAGACCTCTATTAACAGCCACACTAACGTTTCCCGCAACGGATAGCAAAAGCAATCGAGCTGCGAATTCGAAATCCTGATTTCAACCTGACTAGTCACCTGAAACAACAGTTTGATTTGGAACGCAAAAACTAGACTGGGACATTTCCACTTCCGCTCCAATCCAAATCCATAAGAAATAGTAACGGCCGCCGAAACTGAACGGCGTAAGACGCTTTTACAACATATCAGGGAAAATAGCACTAAATCCAAGGGATTGAACGAATGGCCGAACAGCTCCTACCAAGTGAGACTACGGTGGGGGAGACTAAGGTAAGTTTAAACAAACTGGTAAGTCGATTCTTTTCTATGAAAGAGTAAGTTCTTTGAGCGACAGCTACAGCCGGTTAAAGATATCTCTATCAAGAGTGCCTTCAGAGAGATTTGAGAAATCTGAAAGTGAAACAATAACAGATGTCCTCTCAGAAGGCTGCAGGATGACCTACCAAGGTCGAACCCTTTTGCCTGATTGTCATGAGGACTTCTGGAACAAAGTCTTTACCAAGTAGAGTGCATCTGATAAAAGAAATGATAGCATCCAGATTCTCCGACAAGCGGCACTTAATACAACCTATAGCTGATAAAGAAGTCCGTTAAAGTGGATAGGGTCCGTCATAAGAAACTTAGACGTGAGGGAATCGGCTACGTCGCTTACCTGTTCAACCTGATGCTGACCTATGGGGCTATGCCAAAACACTTTATGCAGTCAAGCATAACCCTCATAATAAAAGTGACGAGTTCATATAGACCAGGAAACTATAGACCAACATCGGCTTCAGTCGTGAACCGTTGCCCAAACAGAATTCTGGCTGGGAGGTGGTCAGCTAATCTTCTCGTAACCCCGGCTCAATCAAGTTTCCTGCAAAAGGGGTAGCTGATTAGAAGTCAGCATGACCCCAAACGCCATCTTAAAACATGAACATCAAGGGAGAAAACCCCTAGCCATGTGCTCCATTGATGTTTCGAAGGCCTTCGACTCGGTGTCTCACAACCTACCGAACGGGCCGCCTCAACGTATGAAGTACCAAGATCCCTGATCTCATACATTAGATCATCTTATAAATCAGCGAGGGCTAACACCGATGGAAAAGTCTAAAACGTTAACCATGAGTTCCGTCAAGGCAATTTTCTCTCCCCCTTGTTCTTCATGGTGATGGACGAAGTCATCAAGCTATGCTATATACGTAGTGGTTTCTAACTTGGTGAGGTGAAGATTGACCCGTTAGCCTATGCTGGCGACTTGATCATCAGGGTAGAGAACCAAAAAACCTACGGAATAAACTGTATCTGCTACATGTGGCTCTCGGAGAAGCAGGTATGCAGATTAATGGTCAGAAATCGACTTCTCTGGCTATAAAAGTTTACAAGAAGTGAAAGATAACGGCAACTTCACCAGTAACTTACAGTGGGCACCGAGCACGTTAAGCCCCTGACCCCTGGAGATGCATTCAAGTATCTAGACCTAACTTTTAGGTAGACTGATATGGTGAAAACCAACTTCATCCTTCTGTTGGAGACGATACACCTCGAAAATCTTAACAGAGGTTGCGGATGCTGAAGGTGTATCTCCTACCTAGTTTACAGAATGCGGTCCTAGCTAGCCCAGACTGTGTTACCAAACTTAAGATGGGTAGACATGTATAAAAATATTTGAGGAAATGGCTTCACCTAGTTTGCGAAACTCCGGAAGCCTTCTTCCATACAGCAATAGCAGACGGTGACCTAGGTGTCGAATGCCTACGTGCAGCTATTCTTATCACACGCGTAGGTCCCCTGCAAAATCTCAGAACATCCATGTGCCGTATAGTGTAAGCAGATGTATCCACCCTCGCCATAGACACCACCATCAGGCACTTTGCTAAGGGTGTGAAAATCAACCATCAGATGGCCCACACAAAAGAACAGTTGGGGAAAGTATGGAGATGCCCGCTACTGAACAAGAGAGATGGAAGGGGGTTGAGAGACGCCAACAGGACTAAGGTCCCACACAGGTGGCTGTACAACCCTTAGAAGATCTCTTGACTACTTGTCAGACCGATTCAACTCACAGGCAATCTCTTAACAACTAAGCTAAGGGCTTACCGTGGTCAGAGACTTCCTCATGAATGTCTCCATAAGTGTAATCAAGGATACGTGGAGAACCTGACTCATATACTGAACAAGTCCCGCTTAACCCACAAGGTTCAAATAGCACGCCATAATAGAATATTTAGTCTGCTTTTCCTAGACATTAACAAGTAAGAGTACGATACCCTTCAGGAACCCAAAATCAAACAGTTTGAAGCCTTCTTCATATCAGATATCATTGCCATTAAGGACGCCATAGCATATATTATCGACGTTAAGGTTACTGCAAACAACACTATGAGACAGGCATGGCTGAACGAGATCAATAATTACAAAGCAGAGTTTACAGATAAGGTCATATCGCAGTAGTTTGAACGTAGCGACGGACTGAGGTGCCTAGAATAGTTCACTATTCCTTCATTGTGAGTATGTAAGGCCTTCTGTACAAAGAAACCTTGTAATAGGTCTTCCAAAGTTCAGCCTCTCCAATCTATGCTTTCTGAAGTGCTGTGATGGTTTCCACCTTGAAGGCAGGTAAGTCTTTGTTTCCTATTAATCCTCTCTGTTTGCCTTGGCCTCCCTCGTCTTTATTTTGCAGACCAACAAAGTGCCTCCAAGTAAGTCCGTAATTGCATTTAACACCCACGAGTCTATTTATTCCCCCTTTCAAACACCCAAACCTCAAGAATATGAGGCACGGTCTCTTAAATTAGATTGGTCGCTAGATACCCAGGTGACTGAAGATTCGCAGTGATAAAGCCCTTGTCATACCCTCCCGGCTGGGGGACGGGTCTTTGGAGGCAGTACCCGAATGACTCACAAACCTGACCAGTTGTCTGCTAACCAGGTAGCTGGGAAGGGATGAAATCCTTGGGGGCAGCTGTCTTACCGGGGGGGGGGGTTGGCGCTAGCTGAGCGACGAGTGCGAAGTGGAGCAAGCCTAAGCGGGGTAAATTAGGTAGGGCACTTGATACCGTCCAAGCTTTGTAGGTAGGGGTAAATACCCTGAACTTTTAGGCCTTCTCCGTTTGCAGGGGTCCATGGCCTGATGTGTAAGTTTTTACGCACTGCGCCTAATTTCAAGCCGTCAGTATGAGCGATGATGTTTGGTGGACCTGGAAAACCGAGGAAGACCTAAAAAACCAAAATGAGCATGATAAGCATATTAGGCAATATATCTTTACAACAGAAACGTCAATTCGACTGATAAGCGCTAGTTTTTAGAATACTACTTACAGCTTGGTGTTTTGATACTCCAACTTATTTACCGACTGAACAGTTCTGTGGACAAGTTCACTCAAATCGCAAACCTGAAAAGAGTTTAATAAACTGCATATTTGACCAGTCTTGTCAAATTAGGCCTTTAAACACAATCTTTTTATTGGTTATATTCATATCAAACTGATGTGAATATGAGTGAAAATTTACGATTCAGAAAATAGCGTTCATTATTTAAAAATTAATTAACTTTGAATTCAGCTTTCACTCTTTAGGTTTATACAACCACTTGAAGTGTTTATATTTCTATGGCAAAAATATTGTATCTGTAATTTTAGCCTGACTAGGCTTTCATAGCAATATGTATTTTTTCAGATTTTCGTCTTCTCAGTGATCGAACTTTAAGACTCTGAAGATTACCTCGATGAACACTCTTCATCACTGACCATGCTGCATTAGACAATTTCTCGATTCCTCCCTTAACGTATGAGAACTATTTATGTATTTCAACAATGCCTTTGAAAGTCTTTGAATTTGTATGACGAAATTACTAACTGCAGATTTCGATATCCCTTCAAACCTACGTAAAGAAGTAGTTAGCCCTGATAGTCTTACCAGTAATAAAGAATACACCTTAACTGATAGTCACAGTGATCTCTGAGAACTGTCTTGTTGATAGTTGCTTCCTTTTAACCTGCTTAATTTCTTTCAGATTAATTACATGCTTATCATTTGTTGCAGGACATTCAGCTCAGTGTTGTGATATCACCTCAAATAATCTTAATTTCTAAAACAAACTGAAGTGATTCTACTTGCTGGCCTATGACTGACAACAAAACTGAGTATATGTATTTCTTCCTACTCGGAACTCGTCAGCTGAATATGTTTGTATTTTCGTTTGTGTTTCTGTCGAAAATGAAACCTAACACCCATCGTTCTTAGTGTCAGAACATTATCCCATAAGCTATGTATTCACTTAAAGTAACTCGTTATGCAAAAGGTAATAGTTGTTACACAGACTTTATTGTTTCCCTTGATTAACATCACAGGCACAAATCGATGGGTTCCCAATGGGATTTCATGTTCTGCACCAGTGCCTGGTGACTGTCGTCATTTCCTTTTCGAGGTTATTTTTTCCCAAATGCTAGAGAAGGATTCGCAATAAGCATTTAATCTCAATGACAGCACTAACACTCGCTGGTACAGGTACGCCCAAATGAAGAATTTCGGAACTAACGAAATGCTAATGTAGGATTCCGCTGCTTGTCGATTTATGAAAATACTAAAGCATTAGTCGAGGTATCAGTTTGATCCAGTGAAGCGAACAGTAGGAAGTTATAGAGTATGGAAATTTTTCCTATTCACAGATAACTATCTTATATTTCCAATTAAATAGACTATAAGTAACCTTGAAATACAGAGATTGAGTATGGAAATGAATGAATGGAACTCATTTATGGACAGGATCCAAATTTGACCTGATAGAGTTGAATAAGTTGAGTAATGGCCAACTGGATTATAAGTAAAATATATTTGTAAAATCCCAATGAAGTAAAAAATAATTTTCTGACGTCTTGCGACTTCGTGGAAATCGCGAAGCAAGACGTCTGAAATTTATTTTTTACTTCATTGGGATTTTACAAATATATTTTACTTATATACCTTCTCTGTAAATGCATTCATAGGAATGTTGAAAATAAAGCAGGTGCGATAGGATTTCCATCTGAAATCCTCAAGTTAGTAGTTCGATGGACAGAAAAGTGATGCACTATACCTCCAAAATCCTAATCACTTACATCAAGACTCAAAATAAGATGTTTTTTTAGTAATTTCAGCTTAGGCAAGGCATATCCAGGGATATCTGCTAAGTGGTTTTTAATAAGGATCCCGCTATAAACTTAGATGAGCATTTCAGGAACCAATTTCCTCTAAAAAATAATTCCCAATCTTCAGTGTGCTGTTGTAAAAAATTTGCAAACTGACAAAATGACGTGAGATAGATTTGTTGTGGAGGGTTACCAGTGAAATACGATTTTATAAAGTTATCTGTTCACCGTGTTTAGGATAGTTTCACTGAAACAGGGGTGTCTTAAATGTGTGTGAACTTCAGAACTTTCCTCTTACTTATCTAGAGATACTTTGGCCTCTAAACTGAGTAAAAAACTTCCTCACAATCGGTTTTATCATATCTGCATTAAATCAGTAAACGTTTTAATATAAATAATTATTTTACAATAATAAATGGTTAAATAAGGAAGAAAAATAGCTCCCTGGACATTAAGTAATACACCTTATCTAGTTTTATTGTTTTCATTAAGCAAATAATATGTTGCGTCAGTACAGCTGAAGATTTCAACAAAATAATCACTTTGGTTTCTATGACTCGTTCGTCTGATTGAATGGTCTCATAAGAGTTATTTAAAATGTCAATTAACAGTCACAGCACCTCAATCGAATTCCTTTTACAATGAGTGTTAGCAAACCCTATGCAGAAAAGGAAAAGCTATTCCTTATTACTGGTTGACTCATTCCAGAAACTCATCTATCACAAGGATAAAACCTAATTTTTATTGACAAATCTCCTCGTTAAACCTATTTTCAGGCGTTAGAGAGGCATTGCATGAATATAACTTAGGTGTTCTGAAGTTAAAAGAAAAATGTAAACATGCAAAATATTTAATTAATCAAAACATGAGCACCAAATGAAATGAAAAAGGAAGTCTGCGAATCTCACCTCAGAAGTTGGACTTATTTGTAGATTATCTAAAGTTGGCTGCCACTTATTAACAATACCCAGGAATTTCTCATTTACATAGTTGACCAGATTTTGAATTTGTATGTTTTGCTGACGTCTGTGACATGAAAAGTAAAACAAACAAGTATATATCACCAAATACTTCCTTCTGCTTCGAAGGATAATATAGAGTAAAACAGTGAACTGCAGCAGAAGTCTGTCTTTCTTTTTCGGGAAAAATTCATTCGCAATCTGTACCAACGTTTCACGGTGTTAGACAGTTCAACCATCTTCATTAACTAGCCACTTTATTCATGTCCAAACGAGAAGACAATGCCTCGGAACAGCTGAACTAACGTTTATGAAGTTGATCGATTCCTTAGCCCCAGCTGACTAGGGATAATTAATGTGTGATTGATTACTGCCTTTAGTTCACTTGATCTACACATAATTTTATGGTTACCCGACAGCTACTGAAATAACCAATTATGTCTCCTTAGTTTGGTTGGAAATGAGCTTGTTTCACAAAATGAAGACTGTTTATATTAATAGTTACCAGGGTGGTCTCAAAAAGTACTTTAAATCTGAAGGAAATGTTTTCAGTCACAAAGTTTCAACTGTGTGAAGGTTAATTCTCTTGGCATTTTTTCATCTCGCTCAAACTTTCATTTTTCCCTTATTCCATTTATTTTTCACACTATATTCCTCACGATCCAACGACTCATGTTTTTGTCCATAATGGAATTTCCTGCATTCCGCATCGAGTTACCTACTGAATGGGAGGCTTTATGTTTTAACAGAATAACTTAAGTTTAAAGCTTCTTAAACAAGCTATTTAATAATACCTAAGCATTCATTCACCTCATGAAGTGAGTCCAAAACCAAGTCATCTCTCCCAAAATAACTGATCCTGTAAATATGAGCACACATCTTCATTTAATTAATAGAAATTAATGCCCAAATCAGCCGGACATACCAGGCGCATGTCTGACGGATAAAACTATTGATGGGGCATCAATATTGTAGAAACTCAAAGTTTTCATGCCACAGAATCAATGTCTAGTAACCCTAGTCTTTGTTAAGAGGTTCCCGAAAATTTTGTGTTGTGACTGACTGTAATCGACAGGTATACTTGTTGACACACGAAATCAACTGCCTCAGTGAGTGTTTAGTTAATAAACAGTCACTGCACATATAAAATCCACAAACTCGGACACCATCTTCTTTTAGTATTAAATTTGCGTTACTCTTTGTATCCTGGTCTCGAAATACCTGACTCACACCTCCGGAATTTTTCCTAAACGAACCGCAAAACATATTATGAAGGATTCCTTTGATTTTATCATCTAAGTGACAGGTGAATGTAAGTGGAAAATGTATGATGACCCTGGATACATCTTTACTATTCACCAATCCACCACCCACTCATTAGATAAAAGATGATATCATATGTCAACAGGAGTAGAAAAATCTGAAGGCCATACTAGGAATATCGATTGATACATTGACTGAACTCCTTATCAGAATGAAATTCATCCTAAGTTCGATCAAAAGTGAAGTCATGCTTCTTATATCTAATTCATCAGCATCATATCCAAATGAATCCTGTGAAAATTATGCTTTCTAGATAGATCACACTTACAAGTGCAATTGTCTAAGGGCCTGCTTATCCGAGATGTCATCTTTGTCATTTCAAACATTCAAATACACCTTCCACACACTTAAAGAAAGAATAATGTCATTTAAACTAGTAATAAATATTTCATTTACAGGTAAGATATACTTCAAGTTTTTTTCCAGTAACTGAATGTCCTTTGTCAAACCCAGTGAAAACACTTTGACCGGACTGTTGCTTCTGTTTACGAAATCAGTCTAAAGCCACTATTCGTAGAGTCTGGGGACAAGAAGGTCTTGTTTGCTAGCATGATGACAACGACCAGGCAGTTGCGCATCACGCATTGATATGATAATAAGGTTAAACTCTCAGTGATTAAAAGCTGAGAACTGATCAGCCAATAGGTCCCGCAGGTCACTGTGTAGAGTACGGAGATAGTATTCAGAGGCTACCGATTCAAAACATTCTGCAACCCAGAATTTCACTATCACGCATCACCTTATTCAATAATACCAGTCTGTTAAACCATGACTTCCTCAGATACTTTCACCAATCACCAATAGTTATTCAGCAAATAAACATTGACTTACCTACTTCTAATCTCAGCAGCTAATGAATCTTTTAGGCGTAGTGTTTCATCTGACAGGCGCATATCAAAAGTTTGACTGATTTTTCTACTTCATCCAGACGTATTTTGTGGTCCTCAAGTATGACCTCAATGAGCAAGTAAAATGTTGCCAATTTTAAAATAACTTACTGACGAAATGCAGGTTTATAAATTAGGCACAGCCATATGTGAGTGATAACGATACAACTTGAATTTCCGAGCCCTCGTTTGAAAAGTGAAGTCTGAACCTATGCTCCACCTCTTTAGGGCCGGCTGCCCAGCCAGTGAACCACATCATCACATCAGCAATCAGACCCGAGTGATAGTAAGGCTAAATTATCACCAGCCATTAAATAAACACTTTGGCTTCTCTTACTGAAGAATGTCATATGCTTAGCTAAGGAAAGTTGACTGACCTTTCTTAAACCCGTGTTTGGTATCATTTAGATAACCATAGAATCATGGCGAGTGATGAGCACCATATTCCTGTTCTGGAGCTACGCTGACTGGATACATAAACTGGCTAACTCTGTTCATGTTGAACCCATAACCTTCAATTCTCCATGCCACTGTCATTTTCAAACCTCTAAGCCTAATTTTTTCTTCCCATTCAAATTATGAAATGATATGGCTAATCATTAAGTGTTCTTACGAGTTACTAACACTACGAGATAACTGGTTGTTTTCGGAAGTCTTAGCCATCCTCTAAAACTGAAAGTGCATGTACTAAGTATAATAGTCATAGTGAATGCTGGTGCTGATAATATAACTGTAGAAAAGCAAAGTGGAAAAATATATTCAGAAACATAATTTTAGGAACGGCTTATTCGACTAAGCAGTATAATCGAAATATACCTTATCTATAGGATAAAAAGTAAGTGGGCAGCAACAGTAATGGGAACAATATTACAATAAATTATCAATATAGATAAGTTTTCAGTTGACAAAAACGAGGAAATGTATATTTACGACCACTTTTATGTATTCTAAAGTTGTACGGATATAGTTTTCTCTGGATAAATGTGCACTATAAGCATTGTATACTGTTAAATGGTATATCTTTTCGTAATTTAGCTGATACTAAGTTTTTTTACACATAAGTCAGAACTAATAGATACAATGACAGTTCTGCTTACTTATTTACTAATTACAGTTTTACTGGTTCCGATGATCGAAATCAAAATCCCCATGAGTGAAAGAATAGTTACAGTGGATAAACTGACTTCTGCACTGTAGAAGGTGACTGGTAGTCGTCCCTGCCATTCAACCGAAGGTACAGTTCACCAACATGTCTAATCACTTTGAATATTGGCAACACCGTTAGCTTGATAGAAATAATCCAGTTAGCAATCACTATCAGAGAGAATTAAGTTGGTCATTATGGAGTGTCCAATTACAGGAGTTATGCATAAAGTTAAAATATTTAGTTAGCGAAGTCACTTTTGATCTGGGCAATCAGAAGCATAGTCTGACATATAACTTATCTTCCTACTTCTGTTATTTCGATCCCTGATAGTCGTAGGTGTGAACTGCTGAGGAGTCCTACAATGTGTCAGATTCGTACTCTTGAAAATGATCTTCCCAGCAAGATCGAAAAGTTGAGGAATAATACAAAATATTTGTTTACTTTATTTGTTCTAATATACTACGCCGAGATTACACAAATAAAAATACATCCTATACGATGAATCACTCTGGTAGGCCAGGAATGTCTTAGTACACAAATTGGTCGCCATGGGGTAACAGATATGGCTGTCTCATACTTAGAGAATGGCATTAGTCAAGGTCTATCGATTAAAATAAATGGCAGTTCTCAGTTTACAGAACTGATAACTGACATATGAGCTTAGTAACATCCGTACGATAAAGCTTGTCTAAATCAGACGCCAACTACCAAACTTAAACTATGCTCTTACTTTTACAAAGTTACAACAAGCACAAAACTGAGGTCACTGGATCCCTATTTGCTTCCAAAGATCTGAATCAGATTTGAACAAAACAAGAACAACTAGGTTTGCAGAATAAAAATGAGCTTATTTCATTTCAAGGTTTATCATCAACTGCATATAATTCAAGGCTACAATAAGGTAAATAAAAATATTAGGTGAATGAAGTACTTTAACTGTTTAAAGTGAAGAAAAGATCAGTTTTCTGATCGTTGCAGATACACCTTGCTTATTATTGACAAAAAACACAAAATTTAATTTCAGAACTTCCCGTCAGATGGTTCCTAAAATTCAGCCCGAAATAATTATGGTTTATCAGCATTTATCTTCTGTACTCTGAGGTTTCCATTCCCTGAGCTTCTTGACTTTCACTTTCAACTTTAGCATTCGAAACTATGTTACACATTTGTTAGTGTAAGTATTTTCACTGTGACTTTAGACTGTCTATATTTATCGAGAAATCTAGGAATAAAATAAAGTTATTTTATTCCTCAGACGTTCTTCTTCTTACCTTACTGAAATACATTAAAGAAACAAAATAATGAGATTTGAAATATCTGAGCATTCAAATTTGTCTCTATACAATATTTTCTGGCTGCTATAACTGGATTGTTGCCAAGAATTAGAGGTTGGCATTCACTGCTACATAGTAAGTAACCTATAAGAGAAGTGAATAAGCTAAAACACACTAGTGTATTTGTTACAATGTAAATATGTTTTCATTCCTTAGTTTCTGCCTAGTTAACACATCAACTCTTTGTTTCGTTTGTAAAAATTAAGTCACCTTCACTGCGAACTCACAACGAAGTAAACAACACCAATAAAATGAGAACGTGTTAAATTCATTGTTGATATAACTATAACCCCAACTGTGAATACAATTATTAGAGTATATTTTTTTACAACAAAACATACCCGGCAATCAAAATTTACACTGTTTTCTGAACTATTTCCATGTTCACTATTTTCATGGTGAACCAGTTTCTCAGGTTTTTTCCTACATAAGGTCATTTGAAAAATATCAAAACAAATCAAACAAAATATGAAAATTATAGAAATTTTTTCGGCTACTTCCTCAACGCTTTTATGCACACTTTACAAACATACGCATAAGGCTCACCTCAGATGTGGTCTTACAGGAACTCTGAGTACTGACAAGTTTGGGAAAGTTGTAGATTGTATTACCTGACTGTTTTAGTGACTGTGATGTAAGAGTCAAGGTTTCATTACCAATTCAGTCATCTAGTATTATGCATAGCTATTATGTGGGTAAGAAATACATAACAAGCCTTTCTTCATCACACAAACCATCCAGATTTTTCCATATTAGTTTATATCAATTAAGTAAAAGGAACAGAGAAAACAGCTGTGGTTGATGAACGTCTTTTGCATCCAGAAATGATGATTGGAGGTAAATGAAAACTCAAAAGGTGAGATATTTATAGACTTTTTAGTTATTCATTATTGAGACTATTATGACACTATGCATTTAGAAGCAACTACAAGTGGTACTGAAGACAGATTTTTCAGGCGGTTTCGGATCCATCTGCCTCTGCCCATTTTCACACTGAAACTCAAACGCCAAACACTGATCTTAGAAAGCAAGAGAATCGTCTACCCGATTAGTTAGAGGTAGGAACCACTTCTTGTACGATCGCTTTCACATAAAAATTAAGCCTTAAGATTCTCGTTGTTCCCTTCGCTGGTTTTATTTGAATATAAGCCGATTTCCTGAATGGACACAATGATACTTGAGTCAGCTTTACTACACTGTCGTTTGCAGTCTTCTGAATTGTGAGGTGAAGTTGAACTGTTCAAATTTCAGAGACAACACCGATTTATGTACATCTAGTTACTAGTTAGTAAACAGAACTAAAATTGTGTGCTGAATTCCACTACTAGCCACCATTAAACAAAAAATAACATCACCCTGAAATTTATGAAAGTACTTCCACATCCGTACAAGTAGATACAACAAAAAAGCGATCAATCCATTACAGTGAATTGAAGAATGAAAATAAGTGTGATGCCAAATATAATTCGGTTTTGTGAGTTCAGCATTTGCAGCATGTTAGAAGAGCATAGAAGTTAGGCAGTAGTGAACAACTATTTCTTTTTGCTTTAGAAATTCACAGTGGTACAGTTATGGAGTGAGACAATATCCCCTAGATTCCTCAGAGAAGCCTGAAATTTCCTGGAAAGCTTTAACAATCAATTGTGTCATGTCGAACACTCAAGAAATTCCGCGTAATCACAAGTGTGACTTTCAGATTGCTTTATAGAACAATGTAGAACATGTCAGGGTCATTTAAAACTTATATAAACTGTCACTTTTTATACATATTCGACTTGACAATAAACCTTTAAACAATGTGAGAAGACGGAGATTATCTAAAACACATGATGCATTAGCGCTATACATTTCAAACAATCTGATAACACATGAATTTTGACCAATTCACCTTACAACTCTCAAAGACTGATAATTATTATTATGTACTGATAAGGTCCAGTTCCAATTCGAAGAGGAATATTTTCGACAAAATGATGGTGTTGCCATGGCTAGTACTTAAGGTCCCCTGTCGACTGGTGTGCATATGTCATACATCTAAGAGTTAGTCGAAGAAGTGGTTGGAAAAGCTTGGTTTTATAAGACATATGTGGATGACGTTTTTGTCGTTTGCATAAACGTGAGGAGACAATATGCTTATTAGATCAAATGAGTAATGCACGAAGCCATATTAGCCTCACTAACGAAGAAGAAGTGGATGACAAACTACCATTTTCAGACCTACAGATTGGTTGAAGAGCTGATGGCTCAATTAGAAGGTCTAGCTACAGGAGCGGACTTGGACAGGACAATACCTTAGTCCCCATAGTTACTTTCCAGCCCAATACAAGCATGGCTTAGTCAGGTGTTTTGTTAACAAAGTTCATTGTATTTTCACTGAAGACAAAAGAAATAGACGCAAAATTCCTGGCGGATAAATTAATGCAAAATGGATATCCACTAAACTTATCAACAAATGTGAAATCAGCATAACATTGAAACCGACTAGTTAATATTCTTTCGAATAGCCTCATCTTGAAGAAAAAGTTCAAATCAGTTGCTAGCAGGACATACTACGCGGCCAAGCTCATCTTATTGTAGAAGACGAATGCCTATGCTTCAAGACAAACCTAAACAGCATTTGAACAAGTGTATTACATCTCACTGTGTCTATCAATTTACATGTATGTGTGGAAAGATATATAAGGAGGAGCAATCGTGAAGTGCAGTTAAGAATGGTTTCATATGTCCCTAACTGGCTCCAGAAACAAATGACCTCTAACAGTTTAATAAGTGCAGGCGACAGACATCCTTCCTTATCCATAACAAAACACGCATGAGAAACTGGTCATAAGATTGGTATGAAGACAACCTTTACTGTACTGTATAATATCCGTACTAGGGAAGCTAGACACAGTTGAATTCTTGTGCTTGACTATATGAGCGTGCACTCTAATGTAGTTTCTTCTTATCCTCCCTGAGAAGATACAAGGAGAGAGCTGTGAATGAAGTGAATGCTCACTGTCAGTTAAAATTACTGTGGCTAGTTGTTTGCTAGAATTTAAACGTCTATTAACTACAGTGTTAGTCAGTTGGAACAGAGGCACATCACTAACCCTACTGACGACTTTCAAGCCCCTAAACAATCTAACATAGTCCTCTTTTAGTAGACCAGGAAAGATCAACGGGGAACAATGGAGAAGAGTAAGTGAAGTGCGTGAAATCAATACCAGACAGACTCAGTTTCTTTATAAGTTAAATGAAAGATTTTTTTACAAGTCAACAAGATATCAGATGATCAACAAAGATCAGAAGTAAAAATCAATCCAAGATAGTCAACATCTGATTCACTTTCTGCACAAATACCATCAATAAAACAGTAGTCATGAGAATTAAGCAGCTTACCGAAGTCTCTTTTACGCCTGAGGCTAAAATTAACAGTCTAACATTTAGAAGGGTTTAACCTGAGACCAACTGAAGGAGATCATTGGTCAATTACAGACAAGAATCCACTTCATGCATAGCAATCGAAGTGAGCTGGCCGGAATAGGCACTATCAGGTCATCAGCAAATTGAATAAAACTAGTTTCAACAAAATAAGGTAAATCATGTAAAAAGAAAGAGAACACGAAGGGAGAAAGTACTTCACCTTTAAGCATACCAGCTTTAGTAAGCAATGAAGTGGATCGCCTCGCTTTGTAGACAGTACACTGTTTCCTTTCAGAAAAATAAGAATACAGCCACTTTGTAACCCATGGCTTATCATGAGTTATGGCAAGCTTATTTAACAACAGTGGTATAGGAACAGAGTCAGAGGCTGATGAGTAATCGAAGAAACCACAACGAATTTATCTAACACCTTTGTCTAGACTAGGAACAATATTATGATACAAGACAGTGGCAGCATCTAAGGTACTTCCTCTGTGTTTGTAAGGAATTTGTTTTGGATCTCTGAAAACTTTCAATGGAGGCTCAAGCACAAGTAGAAGTAATTTTTCCATTGCCTTCAAAAAAGGGGAAGTTATGGTAGGGATTCGAAACTAAACATCTGATCCGGAAGATGACTTAGGCACAGGAACAACTTTGATCTCCTTGCAAACAGCGGGTATTGGTCTACTGGTCAATTTAAGAATGTAATCACTTAACTAAGTAAAGCTAAACTAAGACGAATTTCATTTGGTGTTGGGGCTTCCAGCTGTTTGACTAGCACCAATCGATTAAAATCAGCCGTCTAGATTATATAAGGCGAATTATGATGAAAAGTATAAGGATTTGATAAATTTGCCATTCCCGAAACATGATCAGGGCGTCAAGTCTTAACGATCATACAACAGTCGAAATATGCAAGAACACTTCAAAATCCCAATGCAAATTAGTGATCTTCTGTTTTCCTTTAAGCACAACTTTCAAACTACTGAAAGCATCATTATTTCTAGTGTCGACTAACAAGTAATAAATAAGAAACTAAAAGCCATTCATGAATACCTGATAAAACAAGCAAGATAGTATACGTTCTCCCTTGCTGCATTGAAGATGATTACCACTAAAACTCAGTGTCATTCTAAAGACAAAAGTCAGTTCTATGGAGATAATTCTGATCAGTGGAAAAATTCAAGACAGTATTTTCAGGTTGTACAAAAAAACTGTGGCTTCTGTGGTTGAAAACTTGCTGTGAGGAAACAGTAGCATATGTAAAGACTAATCTGATGCTATTCATGAAGACTTAGAAGTTAACACTCAGTCTTAAACTATACTTTTGAAATTCACTTTAAAACACAGGCCACTGAAATTTAAAGTTATGTTTATCCGCATATAAAAATGTTGACACCACCTGAAATCATTAAATATTAATATTGACAAAGATTAAAAATAACTTACAATCCAATGTCGTCTTCAGTGTTCTGTTGATTGGTGGATACTTCACGCGGTTCGATTCGATCCAAACGTACATTTAATTTCTTAAATAACTTTTTTTCAATAGCAGAAACACTTGAAGTAAGTTTTAAAAAAGGGTAAAATGTAAACTAATAAAAAGCTTTCTTGATAATTTTGATAGTTATTAGAACTGTAATAAACAGATTGTAGATTAATTCGACATCAAACTGGTTGAATCTGTTATCCTGACTTATTTGAACTACTGGTTACCGACTCGTTGTAGTAAGGTAACAAAAAGTTAGGAAGGAGAACAGAAGGAAATTTTGAAAATTGTAGGTTAATTGTGTTGATCAGTACGGCGTACAAATTTTAAAATACTTGTATGAACAAGAGTGTAGTACTGTTACATGGCATACTTACCAGAAAGTGGAGTATACATTAATATCATTGGTAGGACTCCTTTATCGTCAGTACTGACCCACAATGACCTAGAAGTCACGGTGAGCTATGACTTGAAGACTACGGCTCACTGTCGATTAGTAGCAGCTAGGAGTTTTAGGACTTTCTGGGCATTACATAGAACGTTTATGGAAATAAGTGATGACATGTTCACCATCTCATATGCATCCTTATTTAGGTCTAAATTAGAAAACTGTACACAGGAGGCTAATCCTTGTCTGAAAGTGACACAGACCCTCTAGAAAGAATTCACAGGGCAGCCACTCGTATGATCCCTGAGATGGCTGGCCTCACCTATGAAAGCCGACTTAAGGAGCTAAACCTCTTAACCTTTTCCTATCGCAGACAGAGGGGAAACTTAATCATGTTATACAGGATTCTAAGAATGACTTTGGGCCTGATCTATCTCCTCTTTTCCCTTTCACTAGGTTGGAACACATCAGAGGACATAGTAGAAGACTACAAAAGCAAATAACAAACATAGTCTCCGCAGGGTACTGGTTCTCACGTCAAGTAATCAGCGCCTGGAACCGACTTCCAGAAGAAGTGGTGTTTGCATCATCAACTGATTCTTTCAAAAGGGGATTGGACAAGCACGTAAATCTACTGGAAAACGATTAATATAGGCTCCCAGCCTCCTATCCTTAAGCAACAAATCTGATCTGATTGACATGGTAGGATGATATTACTGGTTTATAATGGAGACAGTCGAACACGAAAGCAAACATCCATATTTAGATAGTGGTATATTGAAGTATTAGAAAACTAGAACAACAGTCTCAGGCTTATTCTAAATGCTATGAAAATAAATATAACAAAAAATCCCGTAAGCAGGGATCCCAGAAAATTTACATTTACTAGTAACGATGAAGACCAATGTGAACTAGTGACAACTGAATCAAAAGAATCTGAGAAAAAGTTCGATAGTAGTATCAAATTGTCCAAAATGACAAAAGTTACTCATATATGAGGATCATTTCAAAAGTCAGAAGTCGTCTTCTGTGTTTTCCAAGGATCTTTAGTGGCCTGCTTAAATATTGGGCTAACAAAATTTTCCACCAAATCCTTTCTTTTCAGTTTGTTTTAATGATTTAAATATATCCTCTAAAGGTACCATTTACTCTTGAACATTTTTTAAATATTTTCAACTCGCTGTTTCTCCAGTTAATAACAAAACTGAGAAAAAATGTCACGTTATGTGGGAGTGGTCTTTCAGTGCCCAAAAGTACAGCATACTTCGCTTGAGTTGCAGATTCTTGTACTGGCTGGATGAACCGCCAACCATCACTATCAAACTTATGCTTGCGTTACTATCGATTCTTCATTATGGACAGGACACTAATCAAAAATCAGCTGGCTGTTTCACATTATTGCCTTGAATGCTGCAACCATTAACACTACTCAGAAGCAATAACCATTTCGTCTGAAAGTACTGCTCTGGGAGTGACTTTGTTGAAAACGTACATGCTGAGAGTTCCGTACTCCATCATACATACTGTACGGAATACGGAGATTATTATTATTAATGTTGGTATTATTACCGAAAGGGTTTGTTTTGATACATGAATAACCATTGAAAGGGAAGGTGAATACAAGGAGAGGAAAAGGAACTGGGATACCATCTATTCAGACAAGAAAAGGAAAAGGTTAATAGAATATGAATACAGAAGGCCCAAAAAGCAGCTTTATCAAATATGCTACTGTAGATCGAATCTTCGGCTTTCAAAAACTTTCATTAAAAATGAAGGTAGTGTTAAAAATCCCCACTAGGTCATAAAACAAAAGACGTTCAGCGAACAGTCACTGTTTTCAGCGATATCATTCGCAAGCTATACAATCGCATATAAATATTATGTTCGCATATTATAAGAAAAGGGAATTTTCATAAAATATTTTTGAATAAAATTTAGTTTGGATTATAGATCAGGAAATCGGGGAAAGAACTACGTAATGTCTGGAATAGTGGTGACAAGGAAAATTATCAAAACCGAAGCGATATTTGGTTACCAAGTTAAATGATGTAATGTAGTTAAAGGGACTAGGGATGTGTGAGATGTGAAAGAAAAGATTTTGATGGTAAAATTTTCTCATCGGCCATGTCTATTGCAACCCAAATGACTAGACAAATTCCTTTTGAACGCACAGTTCAGCCTTCAAAATATTAATTATCATGGCTTCCGCACTTCGCAGAAGTTTCAGGCTTACATATTTCACATAGCTTGTGCGAAATTCTTAGATGACACTGAATTTATTTTCCGCACTTACTGGGTGGTTATAACAGCTCAAATGTTCCAAAATAGCGTTGCAACACCCTTTTCTTTCTCTTTTTTGGAACCACGCTAGTATATATTCGGAAATGGGTTTGGAAAGCCAGCACGGAGTACGGTAAATATATCTTACTCCACATGAGCAGGTGAAATGGTAAGATCATATCGAGGTAGCCAAGGGAGATAGCTTATCCTCTACGTTTAATCAAAGCATTGGTTGAGTAGAGAAAGATATCCTAAGTTTGGCAGTATAGGCAGTTTTTTTCAATGGACATACCGGACGGGTTCTCAATGTATCTGCTGATGTCTCCGTTGAACTGTAAACTAATGAAAAGAGGCTTCTTAGGAGCCTCAGAAGTAGATCGATTATTTGCTTTCAGGTTCACAGTATTAGCAATGAAAAGCTCAGGATACTGGTTTTCAACCAAAACGTTTTCGAGAAAATTAAGTTAATCTTCCAAAGTATCAGGATTGCAGATAGTATGGATTCTATGGCTCATAGAGCGAATCACATTTTATTTGGTGCAAAGTGGCATGCAACTGCAAAAATTCGTAAGTTGTTCGTTTCACGTGGGTTTTCTGCAGATACACCTTTTCAGTAATCCATTATCTCGTTTTTCTGAGTGTACATCTTAAAAGGATATCTTAGAATTAATTTCCTTCTTTCACGTGAACCTGATTGAAGAGTCTCAGTTATTGGCTCCCACTATGCACCAAACGAAACTTGATTCGTTGTATGCGACAGAGAACCCACGTTATCTGCAGTCCTAAAACTTTGGAAGACAAACCCGATTTTCTCAAAAACATGAAAAGTGTACGCCTGAAACTTCTGCGAAGTGCGGAAGCCATGATAATTAATATTTTGAAGGCTGAACTGTGCGTTCAAAAGGAATTTGTCTAGTCATTTGGGTTGCAATAGACATGGCCGATGAGAAAATTTTACCATCAAAATCTTTTCTTTCACATCTCACACATCCCTAGTCCCTTTAACTACATTACATCATTTAACTTGGTAACCAAATATCGCTTCGGTTTTGATAATTTTCCTTGTCACCACTATTCCAGACATTACGTAGTTCTTTCCCCGATTTCCTGATCTATAATCCAAACTAAATTTTATTCAAAAATATTTTATGAAAATTCCCTTTTCTTATAATATGCGAACATAATATTTATATGCGATTGTATAGCTTGCGAATGATATCTCTGAAAAGGAAGGTGTAATGTGTGTGTTACCGAACCTTCTTATTTCACAAGGTGGCAAATGGTTATTAAGACCACCAATGGTGTGCTTATTGAAGTGACCTTCACACCCATGTTGTCAAGTTCCTTCCAACCAAGTTTAAATTTAAAATCCTTAGTTTTCTTTTACACATACTGACTTATGTACAAGGAACGAAAACTTCAGCATTTTAAGATTGTGCGAAAAGCCTATTGGTTGAAGACGTTTCTCAACACGATACAAGTACCGAATGTCTGCGGCCATAGTCAAGGTAAATTGCAATGAACAAATATCAAGTTTTCACCTTGAGAGAGTTATTTTACAAAGCGTCCCGCAAAGATGAATCTCCTTGTTTCTTGTAGTAAGCTAATATTCCCACCGAACAGTTAGGTCCTTTTGAAAAGTATTGAAACGATTTTGGTGTTTCAGCAGCACCATAATTATAGTCAAATGAGACGTTTTTGGAGTCATCAACCCTCTGTAACTATAAACTAATCACTCATTAGATGATTATTCTTACTTATTTTGAGAGGCATACTGCTTGTATGGTAATGTGACAACGAGTTAGTGTAAAGTAACAGTTTTTTACATAAAATATTTTATCGAAAATCCATAACAGAAACTTAAAATTATCCAAAATACTCGTCAACCAATCACTGTTTATGAAAATTACTAAAAACACCTAGAGCGAACTTCCACATATTTTTTTGTAATCCATTTGGCTCGTCATATGAAATTGTGTTGGTATTGAAAAATTCAGTAGAACGCTGCGAAAACGCAAGATCTAAATTACGGAATCGCTTGTTACACCCTATTTCGTTCACAGAGATCAATTCCCACAGGAAAGGAGGTCAACCTAGAGATAAAGTTATCATTATTTAGAAATCTATAAAATTATTACTCTAAAATGCTAAAAAACAAAAAGTACCGTAGACAAAAGAGTACAACAAAATACTAAGGTGTATGTTAAAAATTCAAGTGAAAAAATCCACATACCAGTTCTTTAAGTACTCATCAATATAAGCGTACAGCATACGCATTAATTTCTCATTTTCAAATAATTTAGGTGCACTGTCAGGTGATGATTCTTCACAGTAATTTGATATCCCACTACTTGATATTTGGTCTATGCTCTGGGAATACGTCATCCTGGGTTTATCAAACTGTTATAGAAAAAATTAATAGTTCCAAATATCTTTCAGATTTGAAGTGCAACTAGATTTGAATTTTCACTGAAATCATCGAGTCACATTTCTTGCAAGTCATTAATACAAAGTTTTGTGAATATCGATGGTACTGTTAAAGTGGAAAAAATGCGTCATTCTGAAGTGATGTAAATTTCCAGTAAGTTACAGCTACAACTTAGGCAGGTAAAATGAGCTAAATTTCCTTCTGATGAGGAAATTCTTTAGGTTTGGTTATTCTTTACTCGCTCATTCATTATTATCCTGGAAGATAGTGAAACCTTTTTCACTAAGGCATCTAGTGTAAGGAACTTATCAGTATGATTTCCAGATCTGCTCTATGACTGAAAATATTGTGCAAACAAACAAAGTTTATACAACTGGTTTATTCCTATAAGCTGTTTCGTACTTCAAGAGACATTCTAATTGTCTGAAATTGATGTATGCCATTTCGCCATTAATTTACACAATCTTTGTACTATACGTAAGTGAAATTCTTTTTCTCTCCATTTTACTCAGAGCCCTTCATCTATGCCTAATGTTAATTCTGAAAACACTAACATCCCTATGCATTTTCTGTTTGGGATAGGCTCTTGTGACATCGGTAATGTTTTATGATGATCCCGACAACCAATCGATTGTACTGAGACTAAATTTCATCAGCATGTTGTTTAACCAGTAGCTTCCTTGACACTATTTGATCAACATTCATGTAAACGTCTACAGTGGTGAGTTTGTGTTTCAACCTTTTTTTATTCCTGAGTAAATAAACCAAATTCATGCTGTTTGTTACTGGTTATTTGACAGATCTTGTTTGAGTTAGTAATATGTGATAAACAAGAATGTAAATGTAATCATGTAAAGATATTGTGATTCATATCCTAATTGTAAAACAAACTGTTTCATTCTGTTTGGTGACTGACATATTAACGTTTTGGCTAGAAATTAATGTTGATACAAGATCACAAAAAACCATATATGTCGTATTTTTTTCATCCCATGAAAATTGAGGAAACCGTTTCCTAAGCCTGAGGAAATTATGTGACACTGTTAGTCAGGAAAGAACTTTAAACGATCTAGTGAAATCGGTGAAGAGAATTTGTGACTTGGTATTCACTATATTTAGTGTGTATTCAAATACATATAGGAATTAACTTTCTCCGTCAAAATACGATTTAGAGGATGCTGAACTTTCATTTCATCTTCATTCATAATCTATATCAATAATACCAGTTTGCCAAATTATGGGTATCTCCTGTAATCTCACTAACAATCGACCTTACGATCCCGTCTTATTAAGCTAGATGTGGATTGGGACGAGAGGACAGTGTGATGATGACGATGATGAATGCGAGTTCACACGTCATGCATTCAAATGACAACTAAGCAATGTCCTTGGTGATTGAATGTTACGACTTGGCTAGTAATTGAGTCTGGTAGGTTATCTGGTAGAGTAGTGGGTTGGTATCCAAAGGGTACTGATTCGAACCTTCTGAGGTCTAAGTTTTCCTTTCACCTTTAATCCTCACTCATATCAGTGTCATATTATAGTCTGTCATAATTATCTACAATCATATTTTTACTCACTATGATGCTTCAGCGTTGCACAATGGTGGTACAGTATCCATGTGCCACAAAAATACATTTATTACTAGCACAACTTAAACCATATTAATCGAGTTTAACAAATTTCATTGTTTTTTATTCATTTATTTACTTTTGTTGGGAATTTACGTCCTAGTGCAAAAGTAGTGACTTGAAAACGACTATTTCTTGCTTAACTCCTTTTTAGTTTCATATATTTCAGTTTGTTGTTGAAACCTTGATAAAAAGAAGTGAAGTATTTACATATATCTATAGTGCTCATTTATCATAAGACTAACTCATTTATTGTGAGGTCTGCTACAACAATAAAACTAATATGACTACAGATATTTTAATGGCAAAGTAAAGGCTAGTCCACATAATGAATACGAAAAGGCAAACAAGAAACAGACATAAGTAGCATAAATTTATGTAGAACAATACATCAGGACAAGTAGTAAATGCACATATACTACTGGCACTCATTCTGAAGTATATTCATAGCATTCAGTCACAATCTTAGTAATTCTACATCATACAGACCAGAAGTAAGTGACTCACTAACGATTTTCATAACATATTATAACCATATTTAAGCCTTCCTTGGATAAAACATCGTGGTCGACAGTGCCTATAGCTATGAGCTGTTGAATGCACTGGACAGTTTTGCTTGGGACCCCTGTTAGATGCGAAAAACTGCTGCATAGTCTGATCTGACTACAAGTATTGTTAGCCAATGAATCCCAAGAGTATCCACCTTATCCCTTCAGATATCCCTTTTAAAATAAATCTAGAAAGAATGCAAAAATATGAGACAGGCAACTGCAGTAGACAACAAGATAGTGTAAAAACAGAGATCAATACTTTAAGTCGTTCGTTACTGTGTTGAAAGCCAATGAGTTTCAATCCTTGACCTATGTTGTATGTGATCAGGACTACCTTTTTTAAGCAGAGAGGACGGCAACATTGGACAAATGGGAATAAATTATTCAGTCTCTTTTCGACAGTATTTCATGGAGAGCAAAGGTGGATGCATACTATGTGTTTTGGCTAATAAAGTTCACTATCACTGTCGGAAGGCAGCGTTTATTCTCACCGATTTCTTTGATTCAATGCAGAATAAGATACTAATGTGATAGTCATTGTTCGTACACAGCTCCAGTAATTACACGTATTCGTTATCATTATTTATTTATACATACTTGTGATATACTTGTAAACGGGCTAATCAAATATCTGGGCTAATTAATTTTCTCTCACATATTGCATCAAATTTTTCCACGCTTTTGTTTGTTTTAATCATTTTACTATGTTCTCTAATCGCATTATATATTCACGCACATTTTTAAAAAGTTTACAACCTATTTCGGTGTTTTTATCAAATATTTTAATACACTTCTTTCACTTCACAAATTTAAATAAAGCGAAAACAACAGATTTAGAAGAACAGAATGGACACATTTTATTTCATGGTTTCTCATCAGCTGCTTACAACCTAAAATAATTTGAACATCAATTTATACAAAATGTTAACATACTCCAATCGGTTTGATAGAAAACTGTCTGCTTGAATTAAAGGTAACATCAATATGAAGTAATTCTAAACAAACGAAGTGAGTGAATAAATGTGTAGAACTAAGTTTGCCAATATCCAGAAGGATTAATTGAATATTTCAGAGTGAAAGTTAGATAAGAGGGGGAGACATTTGTATTCAACACAATAAGAAAAGTTACGCAAAATGTGTGAAAGGTAATAAGGTTTATGTTAACTAAAAGCCAATGTGAGTAGAATGCAAATAATTAGGACAAGAGAGTGGAATGTAAAGTAACGAAAAACCAACATATATGAGTCCACAATAATAGGGAAATATGATTGTCAATAAAACAAAGTCATTACCATGGTACGGACAGACTCATGACTGTTTCTTTATGAACATATAAGTTTGGTTTTAGTCGTTCAATGGCTAACGCTTCACCGAAAAGCAGGAAATTCAAATTCATCTGTTTATTAATTATTTTCAACGACTTCTGAATATCGACTTCATAACCACTATCACTTAGGTGACGAGCAATAGAGCTGTTGAAAACATTTCCACCTCTGAGACGTAAATTCCGTGGAATACTCACATTAGCTATTATTATTATTATTATTATTATTATTATTATTATTATTATTATTATTATTATTATTATTTGTCCCTTGGGTATCCTAGTGGAACATACGGCTTCAGTTGCACGTCTCCATTTCACTCCGCCCTCAGCAGTCCTTTGAACCTGGCTCCACGAATGTCCACAAGCTTTCATCTCTTCCTCACACCATCTCCTCCATGTCACACCTCGCTGGGACGCCCAACTCATCGTTTTCCCTTTAGGTTCCACTCGACAGAATGTCCTGGCACGTGATGTCCCCGAACGGTCTTCTCAGTGCATGCCCAATCCATCTCCACTTTCTTCTGCATATTTGTTGGGCGATGGTTTCTCAGTTCGTTGGTTCGTTGCCCGGCCAGAGTTCCCTGTTGCTCATTCTTTCTGGCCATCTGATCTTCAGTGTCAGTATCGAGTGAGCGTAATTGGCAGCTGTTAATGGGTGCGTGTAGTTTGTTGGAAATGCTTTTCGTGACGTACCAAGTTTCTGAACCATATAAGAAGCAATGATTTGACGTTGCTGTTGAAAATCCAGATCTTGTTAACGCTTTATGCTGATTGCAGTGCAGTGCAGTGCAGTAGATCTCCGCATTGATTTCCGATTAATAAAGGCCTGTCTTGCTGTGTTTCTGATCGTGGCTTTGATGTCCTCATCTGTGCTGCCGCCTGTAGTTGAAACGATGCTGCCTTGCCTAGGTAGGTAGGTAGGTAGGTAGGTAGGTAGGTGAAAGAGACTACTTCCTTTAGGTTTCTCCCATTGATGGTGATTAGTGCTTGTTGTCGATGCTGTTGTTAGTTGGGTATCTTCACCACCTCTGTTTTCTCTACGTCCACCTGAAGGAACTCCCGTCTTCACTGCCCCGTCTCTTCTGCCAACTTCTTGTTTTTCACCTGTAGATCTTCGAGTTTGTACGACGAGACATTAAACATAAACTAAATCATCATTGGCGAAATCCAAATCGTGTAGGGTCTTTTCATCGGTCCAACCAGCGTACGCCCCTCTTCTCGCTCTTCACAGTTTGTTGCATTATCCAGTCCAGTTGAGTCGACCACAACCAGGAAGACCATCAGTGATAGTAGGCGGCAACCTTCTCTTACTCCTGTGTTCACTTCGGAGGCGTCACTGAGCTTTCGATTGTGAATCACTTGGCATGTAGCATCACGTAGCATAGCTATTGAATGAGGTTGATAAGGGTTTGTGACACTAAAACCGTAGTGTTGAAGCAGTTTCCAAATTACTTCTCGGTTGACGCTGTCGAAGGCCTTTTCAAAATCGATGGAGTTGAGGTAGAGAGTTGACTGCCATTCTATGTTCTGTTCTATGATGAGATGATGCATAGCGTTGCAATTTGATCCGCATATGATTTGTTCTTCCTGAAGCCAGCCAGCCAGCCAGCCTGTTCCCGTCGCGGTTTTGAATCCATAGCATTTTTTTAGTCTCTCCAGGATGATGTGGCTTAATGTTTTGTTTGGGGTGGACGGGAGCATGATTCCGCACCAGTTCTTGCAGACTTATATCTCCCTTCTTTGGATGTTTGACAAGGTGACCCTTCTTCCAATCAGTCGCCAGATACCTTTCCTTCCTTCCCTCCTTCCAAACCTTGTGCAATAGTGGAGTGGTGTGAGCTTGTCCTCTGTTATCTCTGCGTCTGTTTTCAATGTTTCTGGAGGAATTCCATGTGGTCCTGCTGCTTTCTGGGCCTTCATCAGCTTTATGGCTTTCAGGACTTTACTTCTACTTTGCCTCTTCTGCTCCACTTGCAAGTGTGTCATAGTAGTGTCTTTTGTCTTTTCGCACACTCTTCTTCACTTCTTTTTCCAGTGTAGTGTGTTATAGGTTGTGTTCAGTTCCTCTTTTCTTTGTTCATCCCTACACTGCACTGTACTGGTTCATCTGCTTCACCATCTTCCTCTCCCTGCTCTACCAGCTTCCATGTGTCCGTCGAGATCCATTCCTTGTCTTGTCTTGTTTCTTCTTCCTTCCTAACACAGGTTTTGTTCCACATCTCTTTCGCAGATTTCCAGGGTTGTTCCACACCGGTTTCCTCGGAGATGTTGCCTAATCTCTCCCATTTTTTGCTGATGGCTGACTGGCTGACGTGAAGATGTCCTTTGTAGTTTTGTCCTTCAGTTCAGTTTCTGTTCTGGGTGTTGAACTTGAACTGTGGTCTGTCACCAACTTCTGTGAGGGCTTTCAACTTGGTTTTGAAGACAGGTTCCTTGCACTAGATTGTGAGTGGTATGAACCTACACCTGCTCCTCTTCTTCATCTGATCTTGTGTCCAGTAGGCTGCGTCTCCACTTCCTTAAGATTGAAATAAAGTCGGCCTGATTTTCAGTGTGTCCTGGTGTCTGGTGAAGTCCATGTCGCTTTGTGACTATCCTTGTGTTTGTACATACTGCCTCCAATCACCAAATCGTTAAATGCACAGAATTCTGCAAACAGTTCTCCATTCTCATTTATCACTTCACCGAGTGTTTCCCGACCCATGATGTGTTCTCTTCCTGTGTTGTCCGCTCTGAGTTTAGCATTCATGTCGCCCATTAGAATTTTGATGTCACCAACTGGAGTGTTGTCCAGTACTGATTGCAGTTGTCTTTAGAATTTCTCCTTCTTCTCTTCATCTGCATTATTTGTAGATACGTAGCGTAGCATTGAATGACTGCAACTTTCCTTCCTTTTAAGTTGAATCCATCTTGCTGTCATGATCCTGATCGTGGAGGAGATTGGTTCCCACTGCATGAGAGGGGGCCTTCGATGCTGTTGGGGACATCATGATAGCCACTCCCTCTGTGTGTTCGTGGTTGTAGTGTGGGTGACAATATCGGAGTAGATTATTGACTCTCCAGTTGACAGTTTGGAGAGTCGACTTCCATCCGATCTGCTTTCGCAGATTCCTAACAATCCTATGCTATATCTCCTCATCTGTTTTGCAATCTGGGCAGCCTTGGTAGGTTCATATATGATGTGGACATTCCATGTCCCTACGTTTACTTTTGCTTTCATCGAGAGAAGAGAAGACACATCGGCCGACTGGCTTTCCGAAGACTCTCATCACTTGGCATTATTTCATCTCTCCGATTCCAGCAAGGAATAATTGTATTTTTAATGTTTATGATTTCTTTATGTTTTGAAGTTTATGTATCGATTGGATTGGTTTTCCAGGGTAGGGTTCCTAGGCCTATGTCCAACCTTCCATCTTTGTTCGGTCTTAGGAGGGGCTAGTAACTAGTGAACTGGTAAATTAGGCGGGTTACATTAGCTCTTAGTTAGCATAAAACTTTTATCGATGTTATTTTTAATTTAAGCAGATGGTTTTCTGTCGAGTATGTAAACACTGTATACATTGATGTTAACATTGTTTTAGGTTGTAAGCAGCTGATGAGAAACCATGAAATTAAATGGACCCATTCTTTTCTGGTAAATCTGTTGTCCTCGCTCTATTTACCAAGTAGGATGAGAAGAAAGCATCTCGCTGGATGGCAAGATGCTTTAAAACAGATAACTTTATCTCAAATGACCGTCTGAAATTCTCAGCACGAACTGTGGGTCCTTGGAGCAAGAAGTTGATTACCTACAATCTCTTCTATTGTCCATGTGTACAGTAATGTTGAAGTCTCATATCACATGATATGAATGTGAACAATAAATCACATCCGAAAAGTAATTCATTAAATGATACTGTTTCACAGAGTAGCATTTCCAATAAACAGAGTAAGATGAAATTACAATCTACTTCAGTGGCCAAGTTTTATTCCTATATAAGAAATATTTGACAACGATTTCTTGAACTAGACTATTGATGGTGTGACATTCCATCCCAAGTTTGGTTTAGATATCTTTCCCCTAGTGGATAACTATTTCGACGCTTCAGTCACATATCTGCTTAACAACTTGAGACTTGGAACAGAAAGAGAAAGGTTATGTGCTCGATTCTTCAAAAATTTCAGAATATAAACTTTAGCTCCAGACGTGAACATGACTTATGCAAACTGTTTAAGTCTTATGCTTCCCGTGCTATTGATGGTTGCGTTTTAGAGACTGACGTGTGATTTATCTCAGCCTGTGTTTCGTTGGATCTTTCCTGGTCCGCCCATATCTTACTAATTTCCTAAAGAAAATCCAGCCCAAATTTCCTTATTAGGGAGCGGAGAGTATATGATATAACTCAGACTTTTTCCTGTAAGTTTGTAAACTTATGTATCTCGCCTATTCTCCTCTATTGTTCCCCTATATTCTTTCCTACGTGGCTGAAAAAGACTATGCTTTATTGTTCAGAACTTTGACGATCCTCTGCAGAACTAGTGGTGTACGTCTAGGCTCCTAAATGAAACTGTTGCGGACGAACATCTTAACTCACGTTATAAGAGGACCACCATCCTCTTCACTCAAAGCTCTCTACGTATCGGTCCACAGGCAAGACCAGGAACAAGTATATAGGACCTTATGCGCGTACTAATAAACATAAGACTCTACAATATCGTGTAAGACGAAGAAAGTGTTAGAAATGAACCAACTAATCAAATTTGTTTTTGAAAACAAACTAACTAAAGATTATTCAGCTTGGAGTTAAGCATTATGAATCTAATTGCTTATATGACAGGTTACCTAAGCTAATTCTGAATTTTCAAGAAAGTTGTAGATTGAGTAGACATTTCTATCCTCTAAATCTAATTTCATATTATTATGCATACATATACACTATTTCTGTTCAACTGATATGATATGACATGTTGAAATCCTCTACAGTATTCCCGAAATATATTTCTGAACAGAGTCATTATTATAATTATTATTATTATCTTATTAGTCACTTCAGTAGGTGAAGACCATTCCACAAAGATCAGGTTTTGTTTGGTAGAGGAAGAAGAAACACAAACATTACCCATGGCTTTCAACTAATAAGTGCAAAATGTCTTTCTCTGAATGTTGTCTACACTTTCCGCAAATAACTAATTAGGGTAGAACCGAAATTCATCAGTTGAACCACTAAGAATTCGGCTAATGGCAATCATTTTTATGAGATTCACGCAGAATTTAAAAATTTCGACTCACTAGACTTTCACAACACGTTCGTTTTTTCTCAGAAAGTGGTTTTGCAGTTTCTTTTGCATTTGATACATTGTGACGCATAATTTCTATCTGTTTATTCAATTTCTTTAGAATGAGTTGAATCTCAGTTTGTTTATTCGATTCACATGCTAATTTCTCTTCAAGTTTTTCAATTCTGTTTTGTTTCATACAACATCAAGTTAATAAGAAATATATTACAATGAATACTAATATTGACTGGCTAACGATAAGAAGCAGCCTAAATGGAAACAAGTGTTTTAAGTCTTTAGCCATTAAGGTAGGAGTTTCGGATTTCAACATTTTTCACTTCACTGTGTGGTCAGAAACAAACCTATTGGACAATTTACCCTACAGTCGACCAATCAAAATAAGTATTTAACTTTTGACCTGGTGGTTTTATATGTTCTTAAAACTGTATATAAACGACATCTCTTTTTCGAATGAAGAGTCTTCCTTACAGTCACAAGCCGGTCTTTGTCTTCTAATTTCCGCGGCTCGGTGAAGTATAAGGTTCTGAGGGAGAGCAGTCGCTATTCGTATTCAGTCCATGTACCTCATCACGTTTATAGTTTTCGTGTATTTACTTTTATTCAGTCGCTCACCAGTATTAGACTGGTCTGAAACAATTAATTTGAAACATCAGAGTATACACATACTGAGTGTAAAACTTCGTACTAGTCTTCTTCATACTATCCATCTTGTTTCTTACCATATTAACCTACTGAATTTACATGGTCTGTTTCTTGAAAATCAGTAAAGGAATGATTTTATGTCAGATCCCTTACTAATTGAGTACAAAACCCACTTATATGCGGAAGATAATCCGATAAGTTATCGATAAACTCAGAAATAATTGGGATTCATCAAACATCACTTTCGTACAATTCTTCCCTTTCACGAGTTCGAACAAAGCAAAACAATGGTTACAGAATTAGCATGCATATATTTCGTGGATTCTCCTCATCTACTTAACAACCTACAGAATATAATGTTTGTGATGAGCAATATGTTATATAACGTACTTGAATACAACAATAAGAATTTTTCAAAATTTAGGTGGAAGGTAACAAAGGTTTGGGTTGACCAACATTGATGAGGTTGTTAGGACTATTTATACGGTGGTAAAATAAATACTCGAGCAAAGATATAAAAAACATTTTAAAAAATAGTGCAGTCACCTGGAGTTTGCTAGATACTGGACATGAAGTTGACGTATCAACAAACAACAGAAATCCACTCTTAAGCGGTTTATTGAAACAGCCGGAACTAAAAGACTCACCCAGGTCTGTGCATTCAGAAAGATACTGTTGTCAGTTTTGCATTAAATTGGCAACCTTAACCTCCTAAATTTCTAAGTAGATGGTTTTATGACCGAATAACACTATTTTTTCCACTTAATGTTTCAATCTATTTTAAAACTTACTTTCTGAGTTGTATTCATCCTATTTCTCAGTATAATGAAAACCTGTTGCACTTTTACTACTGATGGATAGTGACTAACACTTTCACTACGTTTACTTAACCAAGACATCCTTTTTTGTTACTAATTCAAGAATAACACTGTACATACACCCCTTGCATTTATATGTATTGATGTACATTTTTTTCCTATACTTCTTCGAATGTTTACTTTCTCTCTGTATTAACAGTTAACATTTGACAAGTCTTAACAACCTAATAATGTTGGTCAACCCAAATCTTTGTTACCTTCAACCTACATTCGAAAAATCCTTGTTGATTTATTTAAGTAAGACCGACAGCTGCTACCTTGACGTGGTGGTTGGGATTGCATATCACAATGACCCAACCAGCTATGCTGGTGTCACCCTTGTTCCCTCGAGGTTCTACGATACCAGAAAGATCTGTTGGATATTGGTTAGACAAAAAGTTACACTATAATGGAAGTCTGAGGATGAATTCTTACTGCTGCTAGTTGGATGGGGTGTGACAGCAGTAAGGTATTTCCATTGCATGACCAGCAGTATCATGCTGATGCTGAATTCTCAGTGGAACGGGGGTTAGAAAAGGTTGGCCGAAAAATAACACTCCACCACACCCCAACGTCTACCGTGTCGGCGGTGTTGGTTCATTTATCGCTTTCGTTTCGACCATCCGACCCCAGAACAACAAAATTTCAAAACAACCATTCACAAAAGGCTGAGTGTAACAGGCCTCAAGCAGATGTCCGATGGGCTCTGCAGTCACACAAATCTCTTTCAGGTAGCTTAGGAAGAAATAGCCCTCTAAGGAGTGGGGACTCTAGCAACTCGGGCCGTGGATGTGTGCTGTATTTATGAGACACGCATACAGGACCCAAGTGCAGTTATTCACCTGACCTCTCCCGGCCAATCTCATGAATCCGCAAAATTCAACCTTCGAGTTTCTGGAGATCCGATGGCTAGCTCTTGCAGCTGTAGGCACGGCGTTAAGCACTAGGGCAGAAAACTCATTACTAGACTGGATCCCAGTTGATGGTCGCCTCTGCGCTATCCAACTGAAGGGCACACTGGGAACTAAAAAGAATGATGAAACTCACCGTTGTCTCCTCGTAATCTCTGTTTACGCACCCATTGACTACAGTTCAGTGAAGTGAAGGACGAGTTCTACCGAAAACTGTCTAGCCTCCTTTCGAAAGCCAAGCGTTCAGACGTCGTGGTTGTTGTAGGTGATTTCAATGCACAGGTGGGTAGACTGAGTGGGGCATAAAGGCACTTTCGGAATCCCGGCTGAAACAAACAGATGACGGTGATCGCCTACTACAACTGTGCTCAGACAACCACCTATTTTTAGCTAGCACAAATTTCAGACATAAAGAAAGACATTGTCTGATGTCGTGTTCACCGAGCTCAACTCAACGATGGACACGGGTAGACCACATTGCTATTAGTCATCGGTGAAGAAGATCGGTGAAAGACTGCTGCTCCTTCTGCAGTACGTGTTTGAATAGCAACCACGCATTGGTCCGACCGCATGTATGTCTGGGCCTCAGTGGACTTAAGAAAAACTCGGCAACAAAACCACTACGAGTGCTACTGGACAACGAAAACACCAAAGCCGTGTTCAGTGAGAAGTTGTTTAGGCAGTTATCGGAACACAACACTACCACTCATCTAGAAGAAGCTTAATACCCTCTCCAGTCTGCTGTAAAAGCAGCGCCGAAGACCGTAGCTGACTCCGAAAGAGTGGCTAAAAAGAGCCATTGGATATCAGCGGCTTCTTCCGAACTAATGGATGCACGTGAACTCTTCCCTCCAGGCTCTGAGTACAATGAAGAGCAAGTGCAACTCGAAAGTAGACTGAGAAGAAGTGTACACAACAACCGCGAACAGTGGTGTACAGTGAAGGCTAATGGACGGAAAAGGTAGCGGTGATTGGTAACAGTAGACAACCATTCAGACTTATCAAGGAAACTGGAGGGAAAGGTCAACAACGGTTAGTGAGACTATAGCGGATGACGGGTCTGAGATTCACTAACAGGGGAGACGACTGGAACGATGGGCAGAACACTTCGGAGAACAGTTTAACTAGCCTCCAGCCACCATTGCGTTGCCTGCTACCCAGTCGGATCCTGAATGGAACATTGAGATAGGCCCCCAAACACTTGCAGAAGTCGATAAAACTGTAGGTAACCTGAAACAAGGAAGGGCTGCCGAAGCAGACGGAATAACTCTTGAGGTCTACAAGGATGGTGGTGGAGTGCTGTTAGTTAGGTTGACGGAAATGTTAACTAGTATGTGGGAATCAAATACTATCCCCTCTGACTGGTCTAAATCACTGGTTATTCCAGTCAAGAAAGGCAAAAATTCCTCTGGTTTTAATAACCGGAGAGGAATGAGCCTGATGAACATGGAGTCCAACATCCTAGGTTCCATAATTCTCCGACGCCTGAGTGGAGCTCAGGAACAGCAAGCTCGAGAAAACTGAGCAGGCTTCAGACACGGCCGTGGGTGTGTTGACCAAATATTCACACTGCACCAGGTTCTGGAACACAGACATGCTTACCGACGCCCGACACTGGCTGTATTTCTCGACCTGAAGGCGGCGGTATTTGACTCCGTTGATCGAGAAGTCTTATGGCAATGTCTCTCACTGAAAGGCGTGCCGAGTAAGTACATCACCGTGTTCAAGGCCCTCTATTTGAACACTTGTGGACGTGTTAGAGCCTATGGTGAGATATCCAAGAAGTTGTACTCGTTAAGTGGTGTCCGTCAAGACTGCCCACTGTCTCCATTCTTATTCAATCTTATCATAGATATTCTTAAGGAGGTCTCCCTCTCGTCACCTGACTACACCAGACGTTGACCTAATCACGGGACAATTTTCGTTAGACCTAGAATGTGCAGATCACATAGTCCTGTTAGGTGAAGACGCTGACAAGATGCAGAGTCTTCTGAACACTTTGAGAATGTTTGGGATGCGTTTCTCACCACCCAAATGCAAATTGTTGCTCCAGGATTGGTCTTCAATGGTGCCACGACTAACAACAGAGAGTGTAGTGGTTGAGTGTGTCAACCTCTTCACTTACCTAGGAAGTAGGATCAGCCCCAGTGGCTCAGTAGCCGTAAGAAATTTCTGCACGAATACAAAAGACTCGACTGGCTTTCGCCAACTTACGTCACCTGTGGCGCCGCTGTGATATCTGATTGTCTACTGAGGGTCGCGTGTACTCCACAGTAGTCCGATCTGTTCTACTGTTTGGCTGTGAAATATGGTCACTGAAGGTGGAAGGCATGAGAAGGCTTCAGGTGTTTGACCACCGTTGCCTTCGTAGTATAGACCGTATTCCATGCATTCAAATTCTCTTACCATTGTTCTTCATTCGAATGTCATTTTATCTAGTCCTAAAGGCTGGCGAAATTCTATCAAACAAAGTTGCAGTGTTCACAAAACTAAGAGACAGAATTGCGGCGTACCTTGGTAATGTTGAATGGTTGAAAGTTACCGGCAGAAAATCCTTCACCTATGCTTCATTCCTGTTGGTGCTGATCATCCAGTAGCATATACTTGAATAACTTAGGTGATCACAGCACTGAAAGAAGTGGGTTCTAATTCAATATGAATTAAGTACTGATGAAGTCTCCTAGCATGATGATAAAATATCTTAGGACAGGTGACAAAGCTCGGGAAATACCAAACACGTACCAGGATTCTAGCCCATCAGAAAGCAT